AAACAAAAACTTGAAAGTAAAACTTGAATGCATAATGTTAGTTGATTTGTAAAATATCTTTGAATCACCTTTTAATTGTAATGAAAGTTTTAGTATGAAAACCAAAGTGATGTAAGAGCATCATCAAAAAACGTTACCAACAGGTAATATATGACATGATTTAACATTTCCCGCCTTCAAACATACCACACTGTCTACCAGAGATCAAATATCTGGCTGTATGATATGTCTGATTAGCCAAAAAAAAAAACTAAATCACATCAAACCTCCAGTATCTGTGAGGATGGAGGTTCTATTTAAGGTAAACATTCGAAAGGAGATTTCAACACTATTACAAGTTAATGAAAATCTGGACAAAAATCCAGACAAAAAAACTTTGTCCATTTAAAACATGGCTGCTCATTTCAGAATATATCAAAAAAAGAAATCAGGTTAGTTCCACAAAAAAACTATTATTTGGCCGTAGATTTCATTAGTCTCTCTCAAAAAGTCCAGAGTGGCAATAAACCTGCAAACTGAAAGAAAATTTACTTACTAATAAGATATGCTTTTGACATGGCTCAGGAGTGCAAGTCTCAGGTACAGGTCAGAGCACCTGCTCAAATGTGGAAAATCATTGTGTTCTTTACAGAACTACAGTGTCCACAGGCTGGAACAGAATTATAGAAAGTCCTAAATTCTACTACTTTGAACTGCCTCACAATATCTACAATAACTGAAATAAAAATTTGATGAAACCACGTAGACAACATTCACCTTTGAGGGCCTCAGCAAAACACAGGTGCAACATCTTGCCATTGAATTCTGACCTGAAGTCAAGTACTTTGAAACATTTGCTTGATCACCATAACCCACCTGATGGAAAAAGAATTATTCTAAGGTGAATAGCATCCATCTACTACAAAACTGATTTGAATTTCAGCATCAGTGCCCCTCCCTCTGTTTTGTTAAATGGTTCTCAAAAATAATTCAATAAAGGAAGCTTTTGCAAACACGTTAAAGAGGAAGGTTATTTGTTGTAGGTGGTTTGTGGTTTTATTTTTTGTAATAGAATTTTCAAGATGAATTTCTGACTGTATATCTGGAATTCTAAGCTAATATCTTTTCTTGAAACCCAAGAATTCTGGAGAAATAGGAGATGGCTGCAAGAGACTCAACTGGAGATAAATTTACTGCTAACTGCAGAAATATCAGATTTTCTATAACTAATTTCTCATCGCTGTCCATAACCAATCAAGGTTGCATTATTTAAGCAAACAACACATTCAGGGCTGTTAAATCTCAATAAAAATATTTTATATAATGTAACTGTCAGGTTATTTTTATAAACTCCAAGAATAAATGGTAAATAACGTAAACTTGCATTTTTTATTAATTCAGTCATAGGTGGAAAACTTTGGATTTTTTTTCACAACCAACATTAAAAAAGATCAGTAATCATCACAATATATACATTTATCCCAGAAATACTATTCAGAGAGAACTAAACAAGTTAATGCTGTTATGATACAGCTAGCATATAAGAAAGCAAACTTTTATACAAGATAATTTTTAAAAATTACCTCTAGTACCATTTTTGTATCAAGATCTATGTTTTGAAAAATAAACTTTCTAAATTAGACTTGGTTACTAATACTGAAAATCCAAAGAAATCTCAAGCTAGTGAGAACTTTTCTCTAAAATCTGGAAGGAAAAAAAGCTGTGAAAATGCATTTACTGTTTAATGAGTAAAACCAGAAACTATCTTAAACTAATGGTCAGATTTATTGCTATTTTAGAGATGCTTCATATTTGACTTTCTGTTTTCTAGTTCTTAGAACAGATCCTATGCAAACATTTTCAAACCTCATTTACCTGGCCAAGCTGCATTATATGAGATCAAGAAGTGACAGAAAGGGAACCAATCCTACTATCTCTAGGTTATGGACAAGGTGTACTCTTGTTCTAGTCAATGATTTAACCAAGACTCCAAGACACATTCTCTTACATCAAAATTCTGTAATCCCGCACGAAACCTGATTTCCTCTAAAAGGAAAGCCTGTAAGGATTCTCCTGTGAAAAATGTTGTACTTGTAACATCTTGGGAAAACCACAGAATTTTTATATGCAGTTTAAAATATTTATCATTTAATGAGCTTTAATAGTCTGAATATGCAGGATGAATGAGTAAACAGTGGGAAAAAGAGACAACCTGAAAGCAAATGTAAGTGCTGGCCACAATAAACTAAAGGCTAATGGCTACAATCTATTTGAAGAAATGGAATTTCAATCATGCTGTAATTTAAATAGACAACATAAAGCCAATACAGTCAAATACAAAGAAATTACTTGCTTTTAAATGAAACATATTGTAAAGGTGGATGGGGAGAAAACAATGTAATAAAACTCATACATAAAGCAAACCTCAACCTATTAGTTCTGAAACTGTCTGCAGTACTGGACAAACCAATGTTAATTAAATTCTGAAAGAAAACACTTTATGTAGCCAAAGGTATAGTTTGCAAGAAACTGTGTTATTACCAGGCACAAGCAATTATTATAGGATCATTAAGGAACTGAACTAAAATATTTAGAAAGGCAGAGAGAGTACATTTCCTTTAGTTTGCCTTCTGACTGGCTGAGGAATACAAATGTATGTAGAAGATCTTCAGAGGAATGAGTGACAGAACTTTGGAATAACTATTGGCCAACATCTAAATCTCTCTCTCTCTCTCTCTCAGTTATTTCAGAGAAATCCCTTTCTCTGTGGTAGCACTGAGAACAGCTCCAACAGATCTTAAAAAAAAAGGTTAAGGCAACCTTAACGTGATGGTCTGGACTGTAATGCACATACTATCTACAAACAGCAGCAAAAAAATATTTAGAGATGTCATGGGATCCAACCAGATGTGGCTAGAGTTTGAACCATTTATTAGACCAGAGTGCGAGTGTGTATATAAGATACCTTAAAGATTAGGATATTCTAAGATGAAGAACAGAGTCTAGAGCAAAAAGAGGCAGGGTTCAAGCCAGGCCAGGTAGACTAAGCAAAATTCTGAACTGCAGTGAAAGTACAGGTAAGCAGGAAGATACAGTTGTCTATTTGGCATTAACATCCACATCCTCCTTCCTCATCACAGATCATAATGAATTTCTAGTGAAAAATGAGTGGCAAAGCATAACAGGAATATGCTCAAAGAAATTTCAGCAAAGACAATAACTAAACATATCTAAACCAATACGCTACAGCAGTGGTAAGAGCTAAAATATCAGGATTTTTTTTCCCCTTAACTAAACAGCAGATGGATCCCATTTTCAGTGGAGCTACAAGTGAAGCAGTCTAATCTCCAAACTAACTGTTTTCTGCCTTTCTAAATAGAACTGCCTAATATCAAGAAACAATGAGTTTGACAAATACATCATTTTTTGACAGCACAGAGAATCTCTCAGTGGTTCAGAAGCAGGAATACTGTACTGGAGGATCCTGACTCTTCCCAGGAAATCTTGCCACTTCTTGCCCAGTTTTGCAAGTTAGTACATGTTCTTGCAAACAATTCAACTTGGAATACACTCAATCCTTCTATCAAGGTAGTCTGTTTCTACAGTTAAGTTTTCTCAATGTAATTTATTGAATCCAAAATTTTATCTTAAGTAGCCCAAATCAAAATAATTTTTAAAGCATTCTATGTTCTAAACAGGGACTCAAGTCAGTACTTGTTTTTTCTTTTTTTTTTTTTTTTTTTTCCCCAGTTTCCATTTGGACTCAAGCAGAAATGAAGCTGCTGTAGCTCAAATTCAAGCAAAGTCTGATAGCTGACTCTCCCACTGAAATAGACTGCACTGGAAAACAGGATATAAAAATCAGAGTGGTGATATAACAGGGTAGGCCTATAACAAAGTCACAGCCAGTGAGAGATGCAGCCCTTACTTCCTTACACCTGCAGGTACCAGCCCCGTCCCCAGCAGAGCATGTAAATATTTTCTTAGACTTCTATTCTGGAATTTGAGCTGTGGAGATGGTGGAAACCTGGCAGCACTCATAGGAACACGAACTGTACCAGCACTGTATCAGGGGAGAGAAAAATCATAGCAGTGAGATAAAATTCCTGTAACTTTTACTCTCAGATAAACACTGTATCTCCAGAGCAGTCTAAAACTATCCCCATACATGATAGAAAAAGGCACCCCAGGGGTGCCTCTGGCAGATAGAGCTGGAGGCATCCTAACAACTTGCCTTAGGCAGAACAGCCCAGAGTTCTTTCCAAGGAAGAAACAAAAATCAATGATATAGCCAAGCCTTTCCCATTAACTGAAGAAATCTTTGGGGATATCATTTCCCCACTGGACCAATTCTCGGATAACATTTGCAAAACCTTTTAATGCAAAAATTGCATCTCAACCCCAGTAACTCAGTAAAGGCAAGTTCTGCATGAGCACACTCTGTAGGTCCCAGCTGGTGAAACTGACCCCACACTAAGGCAGTCTCCGCTGAGGCACAAAACCTATTAGTCAAACTGCTCTTTTGAACTGGCATCCCAAAATAGTACCTCAGAAAGAGATCTGTTTTGAAGAAAAAATCTAAAATAGCAGACAATATCCAACTTAGGTAAAGAAAAAGAAAATGAAGAATCTAGCTCATATTTCTTCTTGGGTTTTCACTTGCTTCCCTCACCCATCCTAATAAATGTGAAAAAAAAAAAAAACACACAAAAACAGAACAGAAGCATTATCTTAGCAACAAAAATAATGGTTACATGTTAACTTTACACCTACCTGTCATGACTGTAGAAGTTTAACAAGGTAATGATGAACTTGAGATTTACAAAGATTTATTAAGATATTAATCTTAGTCTTCTAACTCTTATAGGCCCATACATAAAATACCAGTCTCCCATTTAACTTCATTTTGCAGATGAGAAAGTAAGCTCTTACCAGGTTATTCAACAGCTTTCATATGGGCAAACACAAATTTTTAACATTCTTTCTGTGGTTTTTTTTTCTGAAAAAAATCCATCACCCAGTTCTGAGAAAAAGCATTTATTCAATTACAATTCTCTAAAAAATACACTTTACCAGTTCTTAACATGGCACAGGAAAAACAAAATACCAGCAGCCATTAAGATATTGCAACAAACCACATTTATTCTGCAGATCTTAGATCTGTCTGAAACGTGTAGTGCAACAATGTGTCAGATGTTTTGTTCAAACTTTGACACCTATATAAAATAATTTATTGCAAATTTAAATTCTACTTCCCCAAATAAATTTTACTTGTGTTAACACTGTCACCATTCAGTGTGCTTCTGTGAATGTGCACATAAATGTGTTTGTATATGTATACATATAACACCAAATTTAAACACATTTTATTACACATCTTCTTGATTTTTATGGCCTGTTAGCAGCAGCTATACAGATATTTTACCTGTGACATGGTTTTGAAATAGAACAAATGTTTCTGTAGTCCTTAGAACCAATAAAAATACAGAAACCATTTTCTTCATGGATAGATTCACTCCAATGCACAAAACTCTTCCACTGCTCCATTTATTCCATTAGTGTAGTGGCTTAAATGATGCATGAAGCATCATTTCAGCAGTGGAGTGAATGTCATTCTTAAGGTCCCAATAAAAAGATAAACAATATAAGAACCATAACTCAATACTGAGAAATAACTGCAAATAAAAGTACAGCTGTAAATAGTACATTCAAGTCCAGCCTGACAGAAAATAAAGCAATTTCTCCTGCTGACAGTAGTCCCCTGTTCAAATCAGCATTTAAGAATGTTTATTAACACTAAGCACCAGCTTTAATCAATAAAATTTGAGTTCAGGCTGATATGCTTTCTTGAGGCAGAGCCTCAGTGATTAGAAGAAGCTCAATTACAAAGTGAAGGTAGCAAAACAGTCAATAGGGCACTGGAACAATTAAAATCTACAAACTTGTTTCAGTTTTAACAACAGGTCAAATAAGGTAGATGCAAAGTGTTAAAGACTAGACTTGCTTTGTCAGTGCTACATTTCAGAATAATAAATACTACTATAAAATATTTGAGTTTGATAGAATTTTCTCTGTGCTTCCTAGCAGAGTTGCCAGACACATTATTTGAGTCACTTGTCTAATTTCTTCAATCAAACAAATTATTTTTCCAATTAAGCCATTCAATGTAATCAAGAGTGGAAGTAAATGATGTGAGAAATATTAGGGTACCTGTGACGACCAAAAATAGAGGAGGGAGTAAGTGAGCATACTGCTTCTCTGCTTCCTCTCTCCTACTCTATGAGATCTGGCCAATTCCAATCAAACACTAAAGGCATCAGTAAGTTCTTAAAAGGCTGGTGAAAATCTGTGGCAGTGTGACTAGTCAGACCACAAAAGGGACAGCAGCAAAAATGAGCAGATGCTGTTATTAATGCCTCCCTTGAAGCAAAGGTGCTTTGTGAGCTCATTAGAGCTCTGGTCTGCTGCTTAACCAGACAGCATCTACAACACCTGAAAACAGCCTCAGAACAGCAGTGCCTTCCGCCCATTCAGGTGCTATGTAACAAAGTAAGAAGTAAGTGAAGATAAAATCTACAACTAAAACTAATTTCATTCCTTGAATAGGTTTTGTTTTAAAAAGGAATGCTGAATTTTAAACTTAAGGAACTCTGGGTCTAAAAATCAAAGTAGCTGTACTGTGCTACATCACTACCTTCGGGAACTGCTACCTACATATGCAGAAGGCAGCAAGCAAGGCTGTTCTCTCAACCCTGGCACCAGCCCTCACACTCAGAAAAGCAGTGGTAAAGTTGTAGGACAAGCATTTGCTAGTCCCTGCAAACAGAATACTATTAACTTGGTCCTCATGGTAAAGAGAGGGGTAAATCTCTACCCCCATTTAGAATTTGGCACTTCTTAACACTTGGTATGTTGGTACCATTCTGATTTGTTTGTGTGGACACCATTTTTTCTTAAATGAATTAACTTCTCATTTAAATACTAAATATTAATGGTAGGTCAGCAACTTTGTTAGCACCAAGCAAGCTCCATCCAAAAAGCAACAGAAAAGCCTGCCTTTGCCACCCTGAGCTAAGTAAGCAAGGCCTGCTTAGAAAAGTACTTCAGCCCACTGAGATACTGCTATTCTCCCAGTTCACATACCCATTAGACGTTGCTTTGAAGACTTCTTTTTTTTTGTTCTCCTCAATAGTTTCATTACTTAGATGTAATAATCAGATGTACACCCTAGAGACACAGTTTCAAGATACAAGAATTAATACATTGTCTCAACTACTACATTTCTTTCCCTTTTGATTCCTTCACATGACGCCTTGTCAGAGGACAATTCCATGGAAGTAAAAACTAATTTTCTCCTTAAAAATAAAACCACAAATTAAAAAAAACAAACCAGCAAAAACAACAAACAATCAATTTCCAATCAGATGCTACTAAATTTTATACTGTTAGACAATTAAAAATATTGCAGGCCAATAGCATGAATTTCAGAGTATCTTGTCTTTTAAAAATATCTCTCCAGTATTCACAAGGTGTGACAGAGTATAAACAGCAAAACTTTTTGACAGTCCTTAAAATCCTGTATCAAACAAAATCTGAAACAAACAACAACAAAATAGACAAAACCTTGATGTCCTTGCACTGCACAGAAAACTTCCAAACTTCAGAGGTTTTACATAATCAGTTCTCCCAGTTCAATCTTAAATTATAACACTGGGCATACACATATACAAAATCAATAGCTGCTTAAAACAAATTCCATTTCCTTCTGCACTGTACAAACTAGATACATCAAAACAGTATTTATGTTCAAAATACTTTTGAACATAAAATACACTATATATATACACACATACACACACACATATATAATACAAGAATATATATATAAGTATTACACTTCAGGCTCAGGAATTCAGCTGGAGGTTTCATGAACTGCTCTGTTCTTCTGCAACACAGTATTTAGTTCCTGAATCACATGTGATGGCAATTTACTATCTAGTTCCAAAGTAGTTTTGTTTGTTTTGTTTTTATTTTTCTTCAGTGTCTTATGTGGTATTTGGTGTAATTCAGTCATCCCTGAGCCTGCATCGTCCTCAGAAATCAAGTTTCGACGTGTCTTTGTATGATTTCGCCCCTTCTCCTCCTTTCTTTCCAAACATTGTGCCACAATAGATGCTTTTTCTTTCAAGTTTTTTCTTTCTCCCAGAAGTTCAGTATCATGATGTTCACCAAATCTTGATTTTCCACCTTGTAGTTCTATATTCTTACCAAACAAGCAAACAGAAATAAGTTCATTCACACCATATTAAAAATAGTTTAGACTGAAATTTCTGCTCATTAGTTTCACATAATTTTTAAAGAAAAAAAATTAATTTTACTCAAAAGCTAAGACAGCAAAGTCGGTTTTAAATTACCACAATTGTCATAGTATCATTTAGTAAGCATTTTTAGTGAGCAAACTCTCAGTTAGTGACACTTATGAAATTTACATAAATCATGCACCATGCCAATGAAGACATGAAGAATTAATTTAATATAATCACAATTTGATTTTTCATTCTACCACAGTAGACTAAATTTTAGCATTTTACAGCAGATCCATATACTCTTAAAGACCTAGAATTGTTTGGAGGAATTAATACAACTGTGTGTTACAGTTTTGATAATATAATGACTGAGCAACATGAGAAGCAACAAGAGAAAACTTTAAACAAGCACATAAACTTTTTGAGTAGCTGTTAACTGATATGTTATAAAGACTGGCTTCTTTTAATTTGCATACTGGTGGTCTGTTTTCAAGTTCTTAAGCTGTAGAAAATTAAAGGTAAACCAGATGCAGCATCTAATTTTGCATTATTATATCCTGGTGGTGCAGCAGTAGGTAGAACATTCCTTTTGCGGGAAACCCTGGTAATACTAAAGGAAAATTAAGTCCTTAATTAATTAATTAATTAATACATTTTTCATATGTGCCATCTTTCTTGACAACCAGAAGGCTGAGAAAGCTGATGGAGACTGAGTCATTTTGTATTTCCTGTGCAGAACTTGTTCAGTTCTACTGCATTTTTTATGTAGTTATTCATCCACAGCAAATGAGCAACTTGCTCCTTGGAATCTTAATACCTCCTATATGTTAAAACAAACATTAAAAACTACTCAAACATTAGGGAGGAGCAAGTTTAGATACACAGAATTATAGAATAGCTTGGGCCTTTCTTGTATGACCTATTGTAAGTCAGTATGCTATTTGATCGTTCTTTAGAGAAAACATTTTTCCTCTTGCAGATACACAGCAATATATTTCTATTTAAATTAAATAATTCTATATGAGAAATATGCATGTTTCAAATGCACTATCCACATGTGCAACAAGTGGAGTAGAAATAACCAAAATGTTTTGGTTCTATTTGTTATTAGGATTCTTAGTTATTGAGCCTTTCAAACCTTTGATATTATACATTTATCTTGCTAACACAGAATAAAAGTGCTTCCAACAATGCGGAAAAATCAGACATTCAATATAGACATTTTAGCAAAAAATGTTAATATTAAACTCAGTTTCTGGGTATTTTTGAGCTTATAGTGGTTTGGGTTTTTTCCCCTCAGTCATCTTTCTCTCACACAGGTCTCACTTTTTTCTGTGTTTGTAAAACTTTCAGTCTCTTGTCCTGTCTGTATAAATTGATGACATTTCTACTACAAGTTTACTCATTGATCTTTAAATAGACCTCTGTTTTCCATAAACCAGCATATTTCAGAAAATACTTGTTTCTGGTATTACTTTCTAATGTCTTAAAACTGAGATACTCTTGCATGTTGAAAGAGTACTCAAATTCATGAAAAGACTGAAGACATGGTCTCCCAAAGGTACATTTTTTTAAGTTGACTCCACTGCTGTATAATATTTCTTCTTAATAAACTGTATCATATGTATACATATACGTTCTACCCTATTTTACCGTTCATTCCAGATTTAGCTTTCCATGTAAAAAAAACATTAGTTTTTATTTTTCATTATGTATTTTTGTGTCAACCTTCCTAAAGTATGCAAATACCTTTTCCATAAAAATTCTCTAGATTTAGTCATGTCATAAATAATGAAGACCATGGATTTCTGATTTTAAGTTTAAATGCAGACCTCGTCAAATTTGCAGTGGATAAAACATTAAGAGCCCTCCCTAGTAAAGCAAATTATCCACAAAAAAAAAAAAAAAATACATACAGTACTATAGGGCATTAAGGATTTTTAATCATGAAGCTCAAAATCCAATAAAACTTTAATCCTAGAATGTCTGAATTTGTAGCCATCTCAAAGAATGTACTAGAGGTTTCAAGTGTACTTGCATAAAGAACAGGTAAGAGACACACCTAAGGGTTATGAAGTTTTTTGACTGACAAGAAGTATGATTTACTTTCATCAAAGACGTTTGAAAATACAAGCATCAGAAAAAAATTATTAAAAATTGCAAAAATACTTTCTGAGAGAAGGTTAAAAAGGACAAATTAAACAAAATACAAAAGCTTGTAAACATATTACGAAATACTTATATTCACATGGCTTTATACTCTGGTAGTCAGGCAGAGCAGAAATTCTTTCTTCAAGTGTAACATAAGATGGAGTTGTCTTTTATAGAAATCATCATGCCTGCCTCTTGCTTTTGGTTTACTACGGAAAAAGTCAACTTTACCACTCTGTACCTGAACCACCATCTCTGTTAGTGGGGATAACATATCCCATATTAACTCCTCCTTTCAAAATGTTCTAAAATGTGCAAGAAATGATACTTCTGTAGTCCAAGGACCAAGCTGTTGTTTCAATTGCTGCAGTCAGGTTAGTTACTACTACTATTTCCAAGTAGAACAGTGCCTCCATTGCTTCACCTCAGCTGAATTAAGGCAAGTAAGTTCTCTCCACAGGCATCAGTATTCCTATGTGGATACCAGAAAGTAATCTCAAGCTAATATGATAAGGTTCAGATACATCACTAATGCACGTAACGTAGTAACAAAGCTCAGTCTATTCAGAAAGTTGTAACTAAAGCCTCTCATTGTCCTTTGGGACTAAAAATAGTACAACTTAAATATACCAACATTAGTTCCATCTGAGCTTTTCCATTATATTCACAGAGTAGATAACTAAAAATGTGCAGCTTTTTTAGAGAGAAGAAAAAATATCGTAAGATATGCATGCAGGACAGTTTTCAAGGATCTTATTAAAAATAAAATCCATACTGTAATAATGTGCATAATATTTCCAGCTAAAAGTCTTATTTACTCCTAATGAACCATCTCTACTCAAAAAAAACCCACAAAAAAACCAAAAAAAACCCCACAAACACCAAAAACAAGCACAAATAAAAGTCCATTATGATTTACTGAACAGACAGAGAGGTTGTGCAACTTGAGAATTCAATAGCTTTCTTACATTAAATTGTCCTAAATGTTCCTTTAATGACAAAATATTGGAAGGGGCATTGATAATAAGAGCATCTGCATTTTATATTTATCCAGCTCTAGGGAGTTCATTATTATTGGACTACTTATTACAGCATTGTGGTTAAAAGTTCTACATCAAGTTTAAACCCCACTTACCTCTGTATTCCCTCTGATTTTACAAGTGCTCTTCTCCTGATGAATGGGAATTAGTGATAAGCCTCTGATCTTTGGACTTTTAGTTATGGACTGTTTTCTTGCTTTCCCAGCAGGTGGCCATATATCTGCATGCTGAAAAACGAAATGATTTCTTATTTTCCATGTACAATTTCATAAATATACAAGATTCTTTGGTATGTAAAACTCCCTTGGAAAAAGCTATATACTGCACAATACCATGCCCTCCTCTTGAGAGAGAAAGGGAAAAACACTATGATGCTTAAAATTGCATTAATATTTCATAAGTACTGCACAATATTGAGTGAAAAGAACCAAAATGTCTCTACATAATTCTCATGTATCAAACACTTTTCTTTCCTTAATATTATTCTCATTTTCCCCAAAAAATAGAAAATATCATCAAATGTGACATACATATTGACTTGTTTTACAATTTCAAAATTCCACAGAAGCATGCTTTCAGGAGTCCCAACAAAAGTTTCTGAAATAAGATAAAACTATCTCAATGTGCAAGCATTTAAAGATGTGTTTCTTGGTGAACAAAGAACAAAGTGCAGGGTACAACACTTGGGCCACAATAACCCAAGTTGCAGTGCTAGAGGCTGTGGCAGAGTGGCTGGAATGTGGCCCAGTGGAAAAGGACCTGGGACTGCTGGTCCACAGCTGCTGAATGTGAGCCAGGGTGTGCCCAGGTGGCCAAGGCCAATGGCATCCTGGCCTGTGGCAGCAACAGTGTGGCCAGCAGGACAGGGCAGTGATTGTTCCCCCGGTACCCAACACTGGTGAGGCCACACCTCAAACCCAGTGTCCAGTTTTGGGCCCGTCACTGCAAGAAGGACTTTGAGCAGCTGGAGCGTGTCCAGAGAAGGGCAATGGAGGAGGGGAAGGGTGTGGAGCACAAGGCTTGTGGGGAGCAGCTGAGGGAGCTGGGGGCTTGAGCCTGGAGAAAAGGAGGCGCAGAGGAAACTGATGGGTCTCTACAATTGCTGAAAGGAGGCTGTAGCCAGGTGATGATGGGCTTCTTCTCCCAGGCAGCCAGCGACAGGATGAGAGAAAATAGCATTAAACTGCACTAGAGGAGGCTTAGGTTGGATATTAGGAAGAGTTTCTTCCCAAAAAGGGTGACTAGACATTGGAATGTCACCAGTCACCATGCCTGAAGGTGTTTAAGAAAAGACTATGTATGTCACTCAGTGCCATGGTCTGGTTGACAAGGTGGTGTTAGGTCAATAGCTTTGACTCAATGATCTCAAAGTTCCTTTCCAAACAAATTGATTCTGCAATTCTGTGAAAATTTGTATTAATAATTTATACAAAATAATTGCTTAACCTATGGTAACAACTTTGTGTTATCCAAAACACAATCTACAAATCTGTTTTCAACAGTAATCTTTGCCTTAGCTCGATCGAAATAGGTCAGTTTTGGGGAAAAATGTGAAGTTTCACTCTGAGTGAAAAACAAGACTGGGAAGAGAAGGGAAGTAAAAAAAACATAAATTACTTACTGATCATTTCAAATTTGAGCACATGAGCTCACAGTCCTCAGGTAATGCTAATAAAAACCAGAAGGACAGATTTGAGGACAAGGTATTTGAAGACTATTTTACTGAAAAATCATCAACAGGAGATTCTGTGAATCAAAGAGAATGTTCAAGGCCTACAGCTAAATCAGCACAACTCCAAAGGAAACTGGCAAGCCAAGACTGCAAATCCATGAAGCAAGTCTGTTGAAGACTGTATTTATAAAAATAGCTGTGGGGCTATGATCATACTTGCACATGGTCTGCAAGTAAAAAGAGCATTACCATTAACACACATCAGAATCAGTGATTGCTGACTCATGATGGCTGACTAGAAATCAAAAGCTTTGGTTCCAAATTTAGAAAAAGTATTCTATAGGCTCATATCTTCATAGAGTAAAAAATTCTCATATATGATGTGACCAGAGTGATGCAAAAGTCTGTGATACAAGTTCTCTCCAGTGAAGAGCTCTCTCCATTGAGAACATTTTCTTCCAATAAAATGACAAGTTATTATCTGAAAGAGCAGCTCTTGCCAACCAAAATCATTTTATTGTGGATCTAGATACAACAAACAAACACAACCCAGAAAGTGACGGAGAAACTTTAATCAGCTTCTGAAGAAAACTGTCTGCCTTAATTCCCAGCAAGCCTAAGGAAACCATTCCTGTCAGCTAAGCAGCCTGATTTCCCTTTTGTGCCTGTAACATTTCTTAGAATAGAACTCTGAGAAAGTATATCAGAAATACTAGCAACGTATTAGGCCACATAAAAAATGTATTTATTCATAGTTTTGACCCCTCTGTTCAACTGCACCTCATGGTAGTATAATGTGCCTCCAGCTGATCAAAGGCAAGGAAACAGGAAGAAAACTATTGTATCCATCTTCATACCAATTAATTACTTCCAACTGTATGCTATGAACACTCTCAAGAGATTTTGTACAGAACTATTATAGAATTCAAGAATCATGCTTTTCAGGATGGTTTTGCATAGAACTGAAAGAAACCTTGGTCCTACTTGAAACACTTAGTATGCACCAGCTTGAAATGGAAGATTAATAACCTCTGCGTTAACTTGATTGCCTGTATCAAAGTACTCTTGTCACTAGATTACAGCAGTACCTACACTTTGCTATTTATATACTCTGCACTATTTATACTACAGGAATAAACATTATCAGACAACAGGAAAAAACAGTAATACTACTACTATCTTACTGATATTAATACTAATAAAACTTTAGTCTGCTCAAGCACTGAGGGGCACAGTAATATTGGTTTATGTCCCTCTTAATTGCACAAGATCATTAAATGTCACTGTATTAAGACTTCAAAACCAATTTTACTATATTTTTCAATTTCCAATCTAAGTTATTCCACTCACAAAGATGTGCTGCCTGCAGTCTCTAACATGTGTGTTCAAAAACAGTGACAACATATACAGTAAAAAAACAAGCTGACTTCCCTAAAGATGGTCTCAACTAGAAAATTCTAACTAGAAATAATCTCAGTTGACATTCACAGTCAAGCTGAGTTCCCTAAAGATGGTCTCAACTAGAAAATTCTAACTAGAAATAATCTCAATTGATATTCACAGTTTTCTGGCTTAGAAATGGGATAATGTGGTAACAATTGTCTGCTGCTGTATGGCATAAGACTTTTTAGAAATCTTACAGCAAGCTTTACCAATATGAGGTGTTGCATTCTTAAGGAGATTTTCTCTGTAACGAAGTAGTAGATTGCAATAAGAACAATACACTAAATCTGCATAATTACCGCATCATTTCTCATGTAGCCTATCGACTGACAACTTTACTGATGTCCAGAACACTGGTAAAAAAAAATCAACAATTTCCAGAAAAAATCAAGCCAAACAAAAAAAACCTTTCTATGTACTACTACTAATTCATTGCACTGTTCATTCATTGGAATAAAGCCTTAAAAATAATAGTACGAATTCATTTTAATGTGCATCAAATAATTTAATTTTTTTTTCTGTTAGGAAAAATTATCCTGGACATTGAGTAATGGCTTCCAGTTTTTTATCTATATTGTCAAAGGAACATTCTACATCTGCCTGAGCAGAATCCTAAGACTGTCCTTCATTGTGATTTTATGTCAAAAGGACTTCAACAGTTACCAAGCTTGCATGACTTACTTCTAAGTTTCCTGTATCAATAACCTCTGAGCCTATTTGCTGTGATACTGCTCATGTTATGCCCATGAGATGTACGCCAGCTGTTTCGATAGAAACAACAACTGTCACTTCAGCTAAGGGAGCTGAATAAAACAAAAATTTGGAAGTCTTACTTTCAAGGCATGCATTATACTTCTAGCACTACTATCTATGAAAGTCAGATTCTGTTTTAGAAAGTCGCTAAGTCTGTATTTCAACAGTCTTGTGCTCAGCCTACTTTATGCAACACAAAGCTCCCAGGTAATCATAAATCTAGCAATGTTTATTCACAGTGATATCCTGCAGAGCTCCTTGAACATCATGGGGAAAAAGAAAAATCTGACACAGATACAAAATCCTGTTAAAACGTTAAACTATGTTCCAGTCTCCTGACAGGCAAAATTCTTCCCACCTCACTTGCTTCCACTTCTCCAATGCAAACATTAAACTCCATTTCCAAGGATGTGTTGTATGCCACTCAAACATATACCCTCCTTAAAATCTCACAGCAAGCAGAAGAGTACTTAATTCAGGATAAAGCCTACCCAACACAATGAATTGTCAATGTTAATTAAACAAACCTGGATACCAGAGAAATAAAGCCATATTGGCACAGCTCTTCAACTGGGCTAGTTCACACGACTATGTAATGTAATGCTTTTAAACATTACACCCTTCCTTCATGACTACTTTAGCAGCATCCAAACTAGTGAGCAGAGAAATAGCACTTGGCTGGTGCACACAGACACACCCTTTAGGTCAATAGCCAAAATTTCACCCACAAGAGCTTTCTGTGAAGGAAATAATTGTCCTTCTTTACCAAATTTCTCTACAACACAGCAGGGGGGGTTGGGGAGATGATGCCACAATCTAATGTTCATACTCACTCTCAGAGCACTCACAGTCTTCATGGATTAAAACACATCTTTTGGCATTTTTATTGCATGAAGTATTCCAGAAACTTTGGCACCCAACCTTATATATAAAACATGTATATTTAAAGGGATTTTCATAATAGCAGAATAAATAACATTTTCTGATCAGATTAGTACCTGTGCCATAAAAATGCTGATCATCCATTCCATCTGCACATCTTGTCCATCACAACATATATACCTTGAACACATCATTAACATAATTAACATGAAAAACAATGAAGACCCCTGTTACACTTAAACATATTAAACAATAGGCTTCTAAACTACATCAAATAGTGCTTAAATTCATTCATGCTATCTATAAGTATTATTAGCACCCAGAAAAAATAGGCATATATAAATACATCAAATTATCACTTTACCTATTTTGAAGACAATGCCTATGTTTCCTTTTAAGCATGTGCACAGGATTAGACTCTATCATTCTAACTTTATGACTATCATTTCTGGTCACAGAAAGAAGCCAGACACCTAAACCCAAAAGATGAACCAAACACATCAACTAAGAAAATTTCTTTACTTAAAAACACAAAAATAAAATTCAACATGAAAGCAAAATAATGTCCATTAGTTTTCAAACACTCTTATTTGTAATTGAGTAATGTAACAAATATTAGTTAAACCAAGCATGTGTTTTATGTTTACCTACCACTGGTGTTTTTCAGAAAATACTGCAAGTCCCCAGCTGAAAGAAAGATTTTCAAAAATTAGTTCTATAAACAGGGATATATTCCTCAAACTGCAGAGATTAATTACCTTTTTGATAGTCCTCTTAATCAGAATAAAATTAATTTTCAAAGTCTAAATATGTACTGCAAATCCAGAATAAAGTTGTGGGTTTGAGGATGGATTTTGCTCATTTTCTTAGAATTATTTCACAGTTAATGAACTCTCTGCTCTAGACAAAGGGTTATAGCAAACACTGCAGATGACAGCTGACAACTTTCCTCATTTTTGCTGTGGCTGTGCTTTCTAAAAGGCGCTGGAAATAAAACTGCCTGGAAAAGAGTCCACTACAGTGTGGAAGTCAGAGAGAGAAAAGAGCTATGACTGTATTATAAACAAAAGAAATCACACGATTTTACAGGGATTTAATAATTACTATGGAAAATTAAAATAGTGGGTGCATAACGAAGCCTCTGACGTGAAACAGACACTTCTGGAGATTCAAAAGAGACGTGGTAAGCTCTTATTTTGAAAGTACACTAACAGAAAACCTCAAGGTAAAAAAAAAACAAAACAGCAAAGACATATTTACATAATGTTTTTACTCCTATTTTGGACTAATCTCCTACTCATTCTGCACTTGAATTAAAAAAAAAAACCCATGCAAAAAAAGCCTCCAACGTTTTCTTTAACACAGCTAAGCTTTGAAATTCACAGACCTTTTTGGGGGGGGGGGGTGTTTTGATTTGCCAACTGTAAAGGAAAAGTTCAAGCAGATCTGTTTAAAGGCTACAGCCAACCTAGACTCCCTCTGGGATAAGATCCTATGTGCATTGTCTCAGTATCTCAAAGCTTTGACCAAACAAGAACTGGAAACATCTGAGAAAAACAGGTGTCATTTTTCACTGCTCTTTTCCTGAGAGATAGTCACTCATGTTTGTAAAGGGCACTGTAGTCTTCAGCTAGCAGAAACATCAAAATAACAAAGATCCTGAAAAAGGAAAATCCTCTGCTGAACAACAGGAACTGCCAGTAAGGGCCATGACTAACTGATTTTCTCTTCTCTCTTTTTACTTGGTGCAAAGAAAGTGTGTCCACCAATGACATGCAGGACATAAACCACAAAACAAAGTGAGCCAGGAGCAACCATATCCACAAGAGATAACAAATGCACTTTAGATTACGAAAAGCCAATCAATAAAGTAATTTACTAGCACACATTAGTTAACATGGAACATGAAAATAAACACAGGAACCCAACAAATAATATTACAGGGGATAATTTAATTCAGCATACTGCTATAGGCTTCTTGACTTTTCCTTGTTCCACAATGTTTTATGCTACCCTTTATTGATGATACTACAACACTTTTTACGCAGTGTTTTCTTTCTTTTCTGTTCTTACTTTGTTGGTGGCTTCATTTTCTTTTTCACTCCAAGATAAAGCTTCAGAGAATTGACAGGCAACACTTTTTCAGGTTTGCTAGCCTGCAAATAAAGTAAGATTCTAATTATTGTATCGGGAGTGTGCCAAAGAGAAAATGCCACATGACTGATTTCACAGTTCAGTTTCTTTCATGGAATGCACTCCTCTTTTCTAGCAGATCATTAAAATATTTTGTCTCTTTCTTTGCCATTAACAAAGTGTACCAGTCACTATTACCAGAAGCAGACTGAGTAAGAACTTAAGGGTCGCATGAAATCACAAAATTATAACACAATTAGAATAATGAAGATACGGCGCTGTATATGAACACAAACTCTTCAAGAGACAGGAAGATGGGAAATGGGATTGTCCTCTGTTAAATAACCTCTCCTATGGAATGATGAGAATTTTCTTCAGATCAGAGAATGGTTTGGGACTTCGGGGTTTGTAATGGACTTGAAAAACTATCTAGTTCCAACCCTCCTCCTATGAACAGGAACATCTTTCACTGGACCAGGCTGCTCAGAGGCCCATCTAGCCTGACCTTGAACACCTCCAGTGATAGGGCATCCCCAGCTTTTCTGGGAACCTGTTCCAGTGCCTCACCACCATCACAGTAAAGAATTTTTCCTAATACCCAATCTAAATGTAGTCTCAGTTTGAAGGCATTCCATGTTGTTCTGCAGCATTACACTCTTCTAAAACATCCCTTTCCATCTTTCTTCTAGGCTCCTTTCAGGTACTAGAAGGCCACAAGTAGGTCTCTTTTCCAGGCTGAACACACACAGTTCTCTCAGCCTTCCTTCACAGACAAGGTGCTCCACCCCTCTAATTGGCCTGGTAGCCTCCCTAGGACTTGCTCCAACAGGTCCATGTCCCTCCTGTGCTGGGACCCCAGAGGTGGCTGCAGCACTGCAGGTGGGTTCTCAGCAGAGCAGAGGGACAGAATCCCCTCCCTCCCCTGCTGCCCACGGGGCTCTGGGTGCAGCCCAGGACACGTTTGGCTCTCTGGGCTGTGAGTGCTATGGCTGGGTCATGTCCAGCCTCTCACCCACAGCACCACCAAATCCTCCTTGGCAGGGCTGCTCTGGATCTGTTCATCACCCAGCCTGTGTTGGTATCATGAGTTGACCCAAACAAGGTGCAACACTTTGCACTAGATCATGTTAAAGCTGCTCAGATTCCCATGGCTTACTTTTCATTCTTGCCCAGGCCCTTCTGGATGGCATCCTGTCCCCCAGGTGTATCAACCACACCCCCACCTTGGTGTCTCTGCAAATTTGCTGAAGATGCACTCAATCCCCCTTTCTGTGTCAATAAGGAATACATTAAGTAGCACTAATCCCAGTAAGGACCTCTGAAGAACATCACATATCACTGATGTCCATCAGGACTCTGACCCGTTGACCACTACCCTCTGGATGTGACCATCTAACCACTTTCTTATCCAACTAACAGTCCACTCCATCAATTCCATCCCTCTCCAATTTAGAGAAAAGAATATGTGAGGGATCGTGTCAAATGCTTTACAGAATTTCAGATAAACGGCACCTGCAACTCTTCTCTTGTCCACTGACATAGTCAATTCATCATAGAAGGCTTAGGACTAAGTTGGTCAGGCAGAACTTGCCCTTGATGAAGCTGTGCTAACTGATTCAAACACACAATCCCTAGTTTAGATAATGCTTCATCCATTAGGCCACTGGGGCCACTAAATCAGGAAGAAAAAAAAAAACAAAAAAAAACAAACAAAAAAAAAAAAAAAACAAAAAAAAAACCCCAACAAATTATGTCTTCAAACAACGCACAGAAGTTATATTCTGACTTTTATGGGACAGGGGATGGGGAGGGCAGGGCTTTGTTCTTCCTTGTATCTGCAGAAAGGGCAGCCTCAGGAGACAGAAGGAATCCACCTGGTTTCTGGAGAAACCAATATAAGAACTTTCAGAGGAACCTATACATGACAACAAAATGGCACAACAGGAATCTCATTAAATTTAACAATGATATATTCAAACTCCTGCACAGGTGAAGGGAAAAATCTCTTCAATGACAGAGAGTGGAAGGCAGTTCTGCTGACAGGGACCAGAGCATGCTGGTACATGCCCAAGCGGGGCATAAACCAGCAGAGTATCCTAACAACAAAGGTGTTGTCATTTTCCTGAGCTAGCAGAAGCACTGTGAGTAGGTGGAGGAAAGTGATTCTCCTCCTTTCCTTATTACTTGTGTGACTGCATCTTTTGGGTCCTTGAGACAAAAAAAAGAGAATCAGTAATCTGGAAAGGGTTCAGCAGGGGCCCACCAAGCCATCTGGGGGCTGGAGCACTTACCCTGGAGGAGAGGCTGACCTAACAGCAGCCCCCCAGTGCCTACAGGGAAGTTGCAAAGCAGACCAAACGAGGCTTTTTATATTGTGAGAAGACTACATCTAAGGACAGATAAACTTTCCCTTATGAAGACAGTCAGGTACTGCAGCAGGCTGCCCAGAAAGGCTGTGCTGTCTGTCCTCAGGGTTTTCGAAGACTTTAACTGATTAAAGCCACGCACATGTCCTGACTTCAGCTGCTATCCCTGCTGTGCACAGGAACCTGGACAAGGATTTCCTGAGGTCCCTTGCTTGCTCCTTCTTGAACAAACTCCCTTTAGTCAATCTACTGAAGACATAGACCCACAGGTATGAGAACTGAATGTTACTGGGAGATGAAATGCTGAAAGGAAACAATAGATGCACAATATTACAGAGAAAAAGTAATATTTAACACAATACAAAAGCATTCCTTTAGTACTTTTAGGTCAAGTGTTTTAGTTTTCAATTTAGAAAAAACTACACCAAACAACTTAACAAATCTTATAATCCCAGTACACAAAGCTACTCCCTAGTGTTTACTGTCCCTGGATTCTCAATTTCCCATTCTGCAGCTTTCAATTTCTAACACTCCAGTGTGGGAAAAAAGAGACACGTAAGAGAACTTAAGAAAACAACAAAACACACAACAGTTTTATGGTTGGTATTCTTGTGTAACTTCCTGCTCAAAAGAGGGGTACTGCCAGGATGAAAAAATACCCCTGCAGAACATACTATTAAGTTAAACAACTGCATATTTCTCAGAATAATGTACCCTTAAGGGAGCCATTGCTTTGTCTGTGAGCTTATCTCTTAGCAACAGAACATTAAAGGGGTAAATTATTTCAGTCAATTAGTACAATATAGTAATTTAGCATACAGTATTCATGGAAGCTTTCAATGTTTTTGATAATTGCTCTTGAACAAGAGAAACACTGAACAGAATGTATCTCCACCTGCATATACAAAGTTAATTTGCTATTAATGAGAATTTATAAATTAATTAGTACATGTGGCCTTATTAACTACAATTTTCCATCTGCAATGTCAAGCTTTCTTACTATTCATTTCTAAATATGACTACAATTAAACCAAGATTATTCATGGTAGATTAATATCTCTCAAAAAAAGTAAAACAAACTCATATACTATTTGATCAGAATGCTATTGCCATTTGCATTAAAAAAAATAAAGTCACTTACAAGAAAGTGTTCAAAGCTCCTCCTGAGATGGGGAATTCAATTTTTTATAAATTAGAATAGCTTAAAAAAGGAGATTATAAAGTGGTAAAACAATCCTATCATAAATTCTTTCCAAGATACTAATTAAGGCTTTATGGGCACATTAATTTATTCTCACATATGTGCCAATTTGAGTTTTAGCACTAAGTTATAAGACACTATTTGTCACATTCTGGGGTCATTCTAATTAAGATTGTATCCACAGTTTCACAAGAAGACAGAGTGCATTAGCTTACGTGAGCAAGGGATATGTCTTAAAAAAAGTACTTTAGGAAGGTCAGCAATATACATCTAAATTTTTTGGATGGGAAAAAAAAACTAGCAGTCAGCAAAAATAAAAGTACTTGAAACTTTGATTTTTTTTTTAAACCAGAAGTTATTGGAGCTAAAGTATAGTTCTTTATTAATATTATTTGGCTTTATACTTAAATACAAGCTGCATGCCCTCAAACCCACTGTTTTAAGAAAACTCCCATGAAATATTTAAAAATGAACCCTTCCTGCTATTAATCACAACTGAATTCACTTCTATGGAATTCTGAGGTATATGTAACCAAATTATCCATACTAGTTTTTAGAGGACTGAGAATACATCTGAAAAATGTTATGGGAAGCGGGGAAGTATTTTCCTAGTGTATTGAGAGTTATTGTTTCCTATAATCTCTTCTCTCACAAGAGGTGTTATGTATAAGAACCCTGTTGTTTGAATTTTTAAGAGCTTTGTGTGAAATAAATGGCATGCACTCATTTAATTTCCATATTACTTCTGCTGCAGCTTTCTACAGCAGGTTTTCAAATAATTTAATGTCAGCACAAAAAACCCATTGTTCTATTTTTAATTTTTAAAGCTTATAGTCATGCATAACTACAATAGTTAAATGACAAACACACACAAACTCCTTCTATTCACACCTGTGAAACAGCAAGACAAAAATCTTATCAGCCCCAGATTCTAGAAGTTACCATTTAATATGAGAAATGTTCATCTGTTTGTTGATCTTTTCTTATTCCAACAAAAACAAAAAGCTAAATGCAAAGTTTGTTAGTTTGTCTGCTGTACCTTCATATCCTTATACAGAAGCAAGTTTCCTTCCCGTAACACAAAGTAACGGTCTTGAAATTTGTTTCCAGACAGTAGTTTTGATAGTTCTTCCTTGTACTTCAGATTGCCTGCTTTCACGCTACTTTTCTCATTTTTCTCTACCAAGGGAAAAAAAAAGCATTTTTAGAAGATTTTACAACAGTGGAAGCTCCTAGTTTTTAAGTATTACTGCATATCAAAAAACTAAAATTACATTGGCAAAATTGATTTGGTATTATGCTATATATAAAAAAAAGGATATTAATTATATAACATAAATACACGTATATACAGAATATACACATATATACACTATGTATTACCTTTGAAATCATATAGCATATTAATATATTCTATATTCATAAGGAAGGCATTCTTAAATATACACACCATTATTATTTTAATGACTGGTGGGAATAATAGTCTTCTCTGTTTCACTTGTATGATAACATGCAAAGAATCTACCAACAAACTTTAATTCAAAGAATGCTTTCAGCATATAATGTGTAGTTAAAACTAGGAGTATGACATGGATACTTTTAATCTCTGTGCTTGAGAGGCAAAACATTTCAATAAAGATCAGATTTGGTAATTGGTCTGTCTGGTTTTTTTTTTTTGTTTGTGGTAAAATACACACAAACTCACATATATTTGGTAAAATTAATAAAAAACTCATAAAAAATACCACTTCCCACACAAGCCCAAACAGTAACTTTGCAGTCAGCTTTATATATAAAGCATTTATCTTTGTCCTGAGAAAGTTTTTATTTAAAAAGAAAAATATCAGAGCTATCAAAGGCTTTCAGTGTTAAAGATCAGATTTTTCAGTGCATTCTCAGCAATTTAAAATCCTAAATAAAAAAATGCAAAGAAGTATTACTAGTACATATCAACTACTGCACCACCACTTCTAGGTATTTTCAGGTTTCCCATTCTGCTCAATATCTGTATACTTTTTCACTACTTTGTCAGTTTTTCCCAGTAAGTACCCTTCCCCAGCAAAAACTTCTGGACAACAATTACAGTCATTGCCATGCTGTTATGACTCATGCATATAAACTGAAACTCAAACTAAAATGGCGGTTAAATGTGAGGAAAAACAAGGGAAAAGACAATAATTCCTACTGTCTTTATGACAGAACACAGAATTCAGCAGAATTCTGAAGTATTCTTCTCTCCCTGAGGTAAACAGTGCTGGAAGCAGGCTGCAGACATAAGAGAGCAGGCAGGCAGATGTAGCCTTCTCCTCCATTCCACTCAATACCATTTCACCTTGAAGAGGGAGCCAGATTAACAAGGCTACATGTAAGATTATTACATAATATTATTCCTTTACCCTCAAACACTACATGCCTACTATTTATGCCATATGTTGGCTTTCACCATCTATTACTTTTAGTTAAGTGCAGGCACCTCCTGTAAGTCATGCATTTATTTAGGAAATACTAAACTCACTTGTTTAAGAGTCACAGCATGATACCACTAGCTTTTTACTATATTACTTTCAAGATAAGAAATTAAACTGTGATGTAAAGGGGGTGTAATGTGTATTGAAAATCTCATCCTTATCCAATTACTCAATTGGCTTTTTTCATTAAAATTCCACTTAGACTTTGAGCATCTGATATCAAAACTTTATTATTAAGAAGCAGTACATTATAAAATATCAAAAAATAGGAATCTAAATCCAGAATCAATGCATTTCAACAATTAAAATCAGAAATTACTTAGAAGTCCTCAGTTATATGAATATGAATCCTTATCCATACAATCATAAACACTTTTTATCTCTTTCTTTTTTTCTTTAACTATAGAAAATGTAGCAGAGTACTTAATGAGAGTAGCAGGATACATCCACATTTGTATCAAGCTGGAAGATTTTTACATTTCTGCACACAGCTCACAACATAACAAAAACTCATTCTATACTTCCCAGCAGTCCTATGGCAGCAAATCTGTCAAACACTTGATACTTACAAAGATATTAGAATAGCCTGAAGGAGGAGAAAATAATTCTCTAAACTGATGATACTCCATATACTTCAGAAGCCAGCATTTCATTAAATAAATCTAAGACAACAGGGATGTATCCTAATCAGAATGTATTTTTCAGACACAAAATTTACAAAATATGCTAAACTTGCTAGAACTTTGCAACTAGGAAGTAGGTACACTTAATGCATGGATGATTGATCCCACCTATGGTATAGAAGCTTGCATTCAGAATATCTCTGAATAATAGCCCCTGTTCTCAGAAATCAATACTTACCACTCAAATTATACAACACTTTACTGGAAAAATTTCAAGGACTTATATACACAGAATTTATAGTAAATTTAACAAATAAATAATATCTGGTTTTCTAACAAATATAACTTTAATATGAGAAGTTTTTTTGGTAAGGAGAAGAAAACAGGTCTTGAAATAGAATTAAGCTGTCCTGGGTATCTCTTATACCAAAATACAGTGCACACCTTGCCCTACTGAGCATTACTTGAAAGAGTGTTCCTACAACAAGCATGGAAAGCTATGGAATAAATTGTCAGGAACTACCAACTAAAAGCTGTAATAAAGCAGAAAACTCACCACAAATTTGCTGAAACAAATCAATACAAATGAACTAACTATTTTTTCCTTGAAAAGGAAAGCTAGTTTCCATACATGAGAAAACATACATCTAGACTTCAGTGTAAGGTTTGGATCATAGAATCACAGAAGAGTCTGAGTAGGGAGGGACCCACCAGGATCACAGAATCCAACTCTTGGGTCAATGCCCCACATGGGCATCAAACCCACAACCTTGGTGTTATTAGCACCCTGTTCTGAACAACTGAGCTCATCTCAGTTGCAGAACATGAGAAAATAGTTTAAAATGGACAAGATGAGAGTAAGTATCAAAATTAAGAATGTACTATGTATAAGGGATGTGGGAAAAGGTGCACTAGTAGCAAAGACTGTGATAAGTTGCCAAAATGAAATGAGGCTGAAAAAGCTGTTCCTTAGGCTTACCATTGAACCAACATTATTTAAAACAACATTACAGACTCAAGAAGAAAAAGGGGAAAAGTGATGAGAATGAAAATCTCTCAAGTCATATTAACAGAAAAAAAAAGTCTGGAATATAAGAATTAGTCTTTAAGATTACTACATAAAGCAAGGAAGCAAGGAATATTCATGGGACTAAATTATAAACATTAAATGATCACAGTCCTATTAATTTTACTGCAAAGTAGGAGGACATCCATCCACCCAGTTGCCCATTTGTATGAGCTGAATCCACTCTTAAAAAACATACTTGAAATCATAGTGGTTGGACATTTGGCCTCAGCCCAAATTATTCAGTAACAAGGAGTTAACCACATATGGAGTGTAAGAGACAGAAAAGATTGAGGTCTCCCCCTCTTCCCTCAAGCTAGCAGTTATTTCTTGTGCACTTTGAGATGGAGAGCCTTGCAATAACCATAAGTGCCTTGTACCCTAAACACTGGGAACATCCCTTGCCCAATGACCTTGTTCAGTATATTTTCTCATTCTGACATTCCATGCAGTGATGGATTCAAATGATTACTCTGCCACGTGGAGTTTGCAGACATCAACACTAAGTCTGCAATATCGCAGAAATTGTCCTTTTCAAACCACTGAGAAAACCAATATAATTTATTTGATAAGGTTTTAATTATTTTAAAACAAATAAAAAACATCAATAAATGTAAACAGTCAAAAGACAGTGTGTCTACACTAAGATCAAACTGAATGGAATTGATACAAACAATTACTGTAATAAGCGGGGGAAACAAAGGGATGTAAAATCCAGGAGAGAGGAAGGAGTGCAAATAGCAGCAGATCTCTACTCCATTTTGTAAATTGACACTAGCCTAATCTTTATGTGTCTCTTAGAGCAGTGATTCACACAATCCTTATGGCCCATTTCCTCTTCTGATCTCAACACATACCTAGTGAGGTGGTGGGAGCTCATATATCAAGCTTTTAATGAAGTAGGCCATTTCTCTCCATTCATGATCTGCTATCACACATTTATAGACAGTGAAACCCAACCATAAAAGTCATGAGCAATACACTTGTTCAGGTTTGTTCACATTTGTGAAATATGCTTTTACAGGCATAAAGCATGGTGGAAGAAGGTGTCTAATTTCAGAAGAATAAGCACAGTAGCATAAATTTTACTTCTTGAAATCAAGATAAGATATATAGAATGGAAAGATTAACATTTCCATGTATGAGAAATAGAGGAAAAGATATATATATTTGAATGAGTCATTAGATAAAATAAGATGAAGATTAAACCAGGCATCATGTGTTACCATCACACATTATACGGTGATAGCACGCAGGATTTCAACTGCTTGAAAATAGGATATAATTTTTGAACTCCTAAACTTCCACTTCTTGCAAAGCAGATAATACATATTACACAGGAGACTTAAAGCCAGGTATTATGTGGGGGAAAAAAAACAGACTGGGGAAATGTGTAAACTGTGTATTTTCGCTATATACTTGATCTGTATTTTAAGTCAACCCCCTTTTAAAGGCCACATACTCTCCAAATTATTCAGTTGCTTGAGTATGTCATTCAAATGAGTATGTCACTTGGGATGGGGCAACCCTGGATGCCTCTGGACAGGCTGGGGAATGAGATGTTGGAAAGCAGTGCCACAGAAAGGGATCTAGGGGCCCTGGTCAACAGAAAGTTGAATGGAGTCAGCAACCAGGAGGGCCAACCCTGTCCTGGGGTGCATCAGGCACAGCATCACCAGCCGGGCAAGGGAGGGGATTGTCCTGCTCTGCTCTACACTGGGGTAGCCTCACCTCCAGTGCTGGGGGCAATTTTGGGAACCACAATATAAGAAGGCTATAATCCTATTAGGGAGTGTCCAAAGGAGGGCAACAAAGATGGTGAAGGACCTTCAGGGGAAGCCCTCAAGTATAAGGAGTGGCTGAGGGCACTTGGTCTGCTCAGTCTGGAGAAGACTGAGGGAAGACCTCACTGCAGTCAAAAACTTCGTTGTGAGGGGAAGCAGAGAGGCAGACACTGATAAGAGATCAGTGTGACCAGTGTCAGGATAACAGAATGATCTGAAGTTCTAGAAGGGAAGTTTAGGCTGGGTATCAGGAAAGCTTCCCCCAGAGGGTGGTTGGGCACTGGAAAAGACTCCCCAGGGAAGTGGTCACAACACCAGTCTGAGAGTTCAAGAAGCATTTGGACAATGCTCTCAGGCACAGGTGTTATTCCTGGGGCTGTCCTGTGTAAGGTGAGGAGCTGGACTTTGATTATCCTTCTGGATTCCTTCTAACTCAGAATATTCCATGAAATTAGCTTTGTAGTTTGGAGACAACAAATTAGATAAGAGAAATTTCTGTTAGTATACCATAGTTATATAAATATATTCCAACGATACGTCCTAGATAAGAGCAGTTTCAAGCTTCACAGCAGAAGTTCACAAAGTGTGAACTAACTGAAGAATTTCTGTACACTTTTATGTTTCAATGAAACAAACATCCATAATCTCTGTGTTTCCACCCACAACACTATGTAAATCTGTAACTTTTATGAAGTAGCAGTAATTCAGTTGTTCTGGGACACTTTGCTCCACTGAAAACAATAGTCATCCTCATATTTCCATGTAAAATGACTAAATAAAAAAAATACATACCACTGTAGAGATTCACCATGTCTGCTGTTAGAAATCTCTTTATTATTAGGTAAGCAGTGCCAGGCTCTGGTAGTGAACTCCAGTGAAGCACTTGTTCGAGTACATTCTCTGTATAATGCAGAGGACGCTCTGAAAAATGCCAAAGAAACACAACACAAAAAACTAGAATTAAAATAAAAGGAAAACCCAACAATATTGGAGGCCCTCACAAGTTACATTTGCCTGTACACAACAAGGTCTCATTGACTTTGAACTATAGAAGAAAAATAGTCCTTTCAAAATAAGACAATTAGGCACTTCACTGACAATACCTTTGCTGGCAGTGTTTGCACAGGTAATGAATATAAAACTAAACAAGCAGTAGTCAAATGTTCAATGACTCTTTTGTAATGTTAAATTTTTAATGTAAAGACACTAAAGCACTGCTTTCAAACGAAATATAGAAGTTAGGACCTATTACAATGCATGCCTAAATATGATCAAACAGAACTGAGACCTTCAGCTTTACTGTGCTTATTGGGCTATGCTCAGTATGAAAATGAAACATCACAGCTACCAATTCTCTGCATTCAATAAACCAAAGAATTTGGAGTGATCACAGTGAAAAAAATGCCTCCAACTGGTATGCATTATACTGTCTGTTATTGATCAAAACAGACTAAAACATTAGTTAGATCTGGTTTCATTAGATTATTTTTACTAGAGGGGAAACACTAAAACATCTGGTTTCATTAGATTCTTTTTACTAGAGGGGAAAAGCATGTGGTCTTATTAGATCTTCTCCCTGTTGCAGTGGCTAGGGAATATCCAAACTTGCACCTGTGTATTTCAATCTTGTACAAGAAGTGCAGCAAGATTTAACTACCACTGAAGGCATGACTAGACTGTATGTGTGCACTGCAAAACTTCAGATGCTCAAACACACATTTTTTGATAGGCATCATCCATCCTAGAAGAGCCCAGAATTGAAAACCTGCAGGGATAAGAAAGCCCAGCCAGTACTCCATGCAAACCCCAGTTCACCTATCAAATGAAGGCAGAAAAGATCTTGCAAATTGTCCCTAAATCTGCATGATCAGATCAGCAGAAATCTGTCACATGAACAGCACAGCCTGATGCAACACTGATGTGAGTGGGGGAAGACACATTCACATCCCTGAAGGCTTTCACCTGCTCAGCAGCAAGCACCTGCTGTAATTCATGAACCCACAAAAGCCTTAACAATGGCTTTGTGGGTTCAAATGTCATTTTATCTCCAAAGAGAGATAAAATATACCTGTGTTCCATTTGCATACCAATTTATGTGGGTCAGGTCTTGAGAAGAGCTGGGTATGGCTCCTGAAAAGTCACACCTCTGTGACACTCTCATGTTGGGTCACACAGTCTAGCCATGTCCCTTGAGTACTGAAGGGCAAAGTATGCAGCCATAATCTCATTTTTCATTCCTGCTATGGTAGATGAATATGAAATGTCAACAGCTGCTTTGGGACTCTCCAGCACTACAGTCTAGCAGATAGTATTTTCTAGAACACCTGAACACTGGAGCCACAGAAAGCAGCAGCCACAAATAACCCACTTACATGACAGAAAAAAACACTGCTATTTTGGGATGAAAAAATACCTACACAACCTGTAGAGATGTGATACCACCCATATAAAGATATCATTATTCAGACATGACACCAAAGCAGCCTAACAACAGCATCATTCTGAAAATAGCAGCTCAACCCCTATATTAACACCACTTCTTCCAAACCTTTTGTTTTAAATGGTCAAACTTCTGAATTTTTTGGGAAACTTTGGTCTCTGATGTGATAAAGCTTGAACACTGATGCTTTTGTACAAGAGAGAAAATCCATTTTAAGGAGAAGAACTTTATAAATCAAAGGCAAGAGACTGGCAAATAACCACGTCTTCATAGAACACCAGCACTCCCACAGTAAACACCTACTGTTTTATTTAGAGTTACATTTAAGACCGTCTGTCATCATGGATTACATGGTACATAAATCATGCTGAAAACCATTAGCTATTTTACTGATAACACACTTCATTTACAAACTATCCAATCACATATTATTAAAAAATTATATACAACATATTTTTTAAAAGCATATGGTATTAAATATTTTGTATTAGGCTTGTTAAAATCATTAATTATTGCAACTTTTCTATATGCAAATAATTTAGCTGATTTTTTAATAGTGCGATTCTAGTATCTTGAACAGCAAACAGGCAACACATACATTCAATTACCCTTTCTTTCACTTAGGTCATCATATGCTAGTAAATATTCTAAACCAGTCATTTTCACCTTAAACAACATTAGTAGAAAATTACTTTGTATAAAATATTACTCCAATTTTCTTACTTTCTCAGGGATTGCTTTCCTGACAGTATATATTAAAAAGTAAAATAAAAATTAAAAAGTAAAAAAAAATCAGGGTTGAATGTAAAAAGTAGAATACCACCATGTACTGGACAGGTAACAGACCACACCAGGAAAAATACAGAAAATTAATTTTTATCAGAAAAACATCATGATTACTGATGTACATTTGAAACAAATATGCAAACTTTTTTTCTGTCACTATGTGTCAATATTTCAACTAATTTGTAAATGCCTCTTGGCGTTTGTCAAATGACACTAGTAGAATCAACTTGCAGGAGCAAAGACTCAAGCAGTGTTTTAGCTCTTCAGTGTCAAATTTGGACCAAATATTTTCCACAACTAATTTTCTCTGTGCTCCCGCCCTCTGCAAACCTGTTAGGTTCAGCCACAGGAGTCTACCTGAGTGTCTCTTTACAACAACATTATTTTTATTTTGAAAAAGCTATTAACTTGTTCTGATGCACTGATTCTTTCAGAAAGGGATCCATGAAGAACACAGTTCATCAACACGATTGCTACTGACAGAAGTCAGGTGATGAATTAGGACTTAATTTAGTTTGCTTTTTGGTTGTTTGTTTTGTATGTAAAACACTGGTGTACCATTTCACTCTGTGTTGGAAATTCTTCTTTCAGTAGGATACACTCTAATGTCCTGCCCATATTTATTGTGTTATGTAGGGTCTGTAGTGTCTCACTCCTAATTTTTTTTGTCTTCCATAGTCATTAGTTCAGACAACATCTGAATACCCCACTAAAACATCAGTTGTTGCACCTAAATACCTGAAGAAGCTGTTGTGGGGTCTATCTGTTTATTTACTTTTTTGTTCTCTTGGCCATATCTAGTTTAGTTTTTTATGTTCCTGTAAGTGTCATATATCAAGTTTAAGAAAATAAAATTCAAATTTTTTTTCCATTATTCAGTCTAAAGAAATATGATTTGTACTGTACTGGTAGGAATTATCAGGACTCTTCTAAAGATAAGAGATGCTAGCATTCTTTTTCAGTTGTAACCCAAATCTATTAATCTGGAAATGAACTCTGCATTACATCTCTATACAGCATCACCAGCAGACTGTAAGTTGTAAAGAGGGCCCAGGATAATTTATTTTCAGATGAAAGGGAAAATACACTTCCATCCTAGTTTTTTATACTGCCAGGCTCAGACTGAGTACATAAGTAATATTAGTAAAATGCATCTGAAAATCAAATACACAAAAGTAATAAAAAATATTTGAACAATATTTAGTAATCTTATTTTGTCCACTTTCTTTTCTTTTTTCTTGACTTGAAAGCAGGTATCTTCACTACAGAAATAAACAGATTCACAGTCTTTCTCTGTAACATGAAAATATTTAAGAGCAGCAACTCAGTAGGAAATGAAAATAGATGTTGCCTATTTCTGTCCCCATATATTCTTCAAAAATTCCCTAAGATTACCCTAGGGAATATTCACCAAAATATCTTTTAATTAACAAAATCCCTATTACTTTATGTTATTTTAGTTATCTTTAACAATAAAATTCTCCAGCATTTCAAACATGCTCCAGCATGTATAAAGTATACCCAATGTTAAAGCCTCTTTACCATTCATGAATACTGTGGCCATGTGACATTTGCTTTTGTTTGCAGCAAACCCATATTTCAAACAAATTTACACACTTTAAAGTGTGTAAAGAATTACACACTTTATGCCTCCTTTTTGTACCTACATATATTAAATATTTGAATAAGCAAAAGAAAAAAGATCCTTTCTCCTACGTATGATGTGTTTTCTCATTTAATTTTTGGAAAGCTTTATTGCTTACAAAATCAAGTGCTGACATCCTTATGAAAACAGGGTCTTCCTCTTAAGACTTGCTAGTAAGACCTACTTTTCTATAGCTGATGATTAATGAACTGCGAAGCACTGTAATATAAAGAACACCTTCTCAGCCCTTAATTTATAAGTAGTTTTAAAACAATTCATCACATCATTTCTGGCAAAGTGAAGAAAGAAATCATGCAGATGCCACAACAATCAAATGTAAAACATTGGCATGAAGGCGATTTTTTGTTTCCATGAAGTCTTTAACTAAATTTTTGATGATATTAAGTATTGAAAAACTAAGATAAAAGCTGATTGACATGCATACATTTAAGTGTCACTAACCTAATTCTCCATTTTCAAGTACTTCAAAAGCTGTCCAGATATCATCTTTGCTGGGAATAATTTTTTTGATTCCTAAAACATCATTAGTTAATTCCTCTGCTTCCATCAAAGGTGATACCTGTAATACAAATTGAGTCAGTTTACAATACATTTCAATTACTGATTTCTGATACAGTTTTTCAAGGTCTTCCTCCCTGCAATTGCCCTAAGGGAAAAAAAATTACAGTAAATATATGAGCTGGAAACCCATAAAATATCCTTCAGATTCAAGCAGGTTTTCCTTCTTTTGTTCTATAAGACTGAAGTTATATTTTTAAGATGACTCTGAAATTGGTAGCTTTAAATTAGTTTTCTTTACTCCAGAAAAATATGGGAAAAAATTAGCTTTGATATATTTTCTTGGGTGTGGGAAGATAAATATTAAAGCACCATTTTTATATCTTAGCAATGCATATTCCCATTTTTATTCCTATTTTAAAATGCATATTCCCATTTTTATTCCTATTTTAAAAAGCATTTCTTATGTGCATATGTCCATCTATGTATACCACATACCCCATATATGTACAAACAAAATTGTTTAAGAGTCATATGCTGAACAGAACAGAAAAGAAAAAAAAAGAGAAGTGTAATAAAAAATAACAGAATACTACTACATGGAGATGCAGGTGTTTAAATACACTGCTAAATAGAAAGGTCAAAAATCTCTATTATAGTTAGTAACAAGCTTTGGCTTTTTAACACTTAAATAAAGAAGAGAGTCACAACAAAAAGAAAGGAGGAATGTCATTTTAGTGGTTGCAACTAAAAACCAAATAAAACCAACATTCATTGTGCGTTTGTAAATGTAGAGTTGGGAAAATTTATACTGTTGTATACTACAGCAAAACTAAAACAGGACATCTCCGCTTTAAAATAGTATCATTTTTCTTAGAATTTTTCTCAAAAATGCAAAAATGCATAATAATCAGTCTTTACATAATTTAGGCAACACAGCAAATTCTAAAACAAAATATTCAAAAGAACAGTGATGAACATAAATTCATACTTTCATTGTGTACTTATACAAAAACATGTATTAAAATAAATGTGATACACTTCAAAAAAAAATGCTTCATAAAAATCACTGTATAATTTTTACACACTAACCCTGATTATAATACTGCAGTCAGGCTCCTTTCTTTCCACGTAAACTTCAATAAGCAAATCTCCAGCCTGGGAAACCTAAAAAGAAAGAATTTAAAAATTTAATTGTTAAAAATTAGCATTTAAAGTAAGGAGAGTATAATTATTTATCACAGATTCAGGAGAAGAATCCAACCCCTGAATAAATCCTACAGAATCATATCAAAGAAAATTAACATTAATTTACAAATATAGATTCAAGAGCAGGAAAACTAAGGGAGACATGGCATAAATGGAAATTTACATTTAAGACTACAAAGTCTATGACATGAGTGTATCTCAGTGTCTTAAACTGCCAGACCCGTAACTCTGATTTCAAGGTTACCCAGGTTCACTTCAGAATCAAAACAGATTAACAGAATTTAAAATAATGAAAAAGGACTGTAACTCCAAAATTACTTAGTTAAAAGTGAGATGAAAAATTACAAATAACAGACTATTTTCAGTCACACAGCCATATGGACATATCAAGAAAATAAAAATTCATTACTACAAATAACTATTTATTATTCTTAATCACAATGAAAACTTGTCATTACCTAATTAAAGAAATAATTAAAACAAATGCTCTTGATATCAACCTCTGTTAAATATAACTCTTCAAATTTGTTGGAGAAAAGGCTAGACTTTGCACACAAGGCTAATGGGGAATAATAAGATAAAGCAAATTTATGACACATATAATAATTTCATATACTCAAGACAAACAAATATGATTTAAGAATGTCTAACAACAAATAACTCAAAGAAATTAGAAAGGCAGTAATCCAACATCTTATGATCACGATAAAAAATATGATTTATGAGAAGGGATGTAACAGTTTTCCATTGTTACTAGGTTTGCTCATCTCTGACAATAAAATTACCTTCATGGATGAGAAATTACTTTATTTTTCTAAAGTTAAAAATGTCTCATATTTTGCCTGCTCTAATTCCCTTTTAGTACAGTCATAAGCATCTTCAAAAGATTGCAATTCATCTCCAGTACCAAAAAGTATTTCCTAAAAAATAAGTGATGATCAGAGCATAGGAAGAAAAATTAAGGCAGAAACAGGGACTCACCAGAAGGTGTACCATTCTATTAACAGGCAAATATAAAGAATTAATAATCAAATTAACACTAAGACAACAATTTGTGTCTTCATTTTTGAGAACAGTATTTAATTATTTATATACTACTACAAACAGAGGAAAAGGTTAAGAAAAGTATATAGAAAGACATATATTCATATATATATATATATATATATATATATATGTATATAAACAGTTGAGCTTTGGGATACATTTTGACCAATTTACAGAAGCTAAGATTACATTTCTATAGAAAAATAAGTGGCAGTGCTGAATTTTAAAGAACATTAACATTTTGAAAAACAGCCACTTTTAAGTTAGTTTCATCTTTGAGAATAGAAAACTAATGGAAACATTTGTGAGGAAAAGCATTACAAAGCTACTTTGAAGAAAGCTGCTTAATTATAGTGGCACAGACTCAAAAAGGCTCATTTAGTTATAAAATTTGCTTTTCAGATGATATTACAGAAAAAGGTTGGAAATAAGAATGAAGCTGACACATGATTTCCACTGGGCTCACATAAACAACCGTATGGAGAGAAAATGTGATGTAAATTACTGCAACAGCTGGCATAAGTATATGGTGGACAGAAAATGAAAAACAACTAATGAAGTGCCACCTGGAACAGAACTTCAGTGACATTTCAGACATGTGAACTTTGAGTAATTCAGCAGAAATTCAGTTGAGTTGTTCTCTGAACATTCTGCATCACCAGAGATAATAGTACTGGGGCAACCTAGTATTAAGTATCTACATCACTGATGTTCCCACATATATGCACACATTTTGATGCCATGATGTCCAACTATCAGTTGTTAAATGTAAAGAATTCTTACAATTCTTAATCGTAGCTGCTTGAGGCCTAAGTTTCCAATTACACATGACACTTACATGATTACAGTGCTGCTGTTACATCACTCAATTGCACCACATCATTAATTTTAACCCTAACTGGAAGCCTGTGGCAAACTGCTGCAGAGAACTGATGAGGAGAGTAAGAAGGTGAGCTGAGCCACTTTATCTCACACCTGGTTCATGCATGACTTAGCAACTGTGCAGTGCCTGGGGTGATGCTGCCTCAGCTCAGCGATGAACAGAAGAACACCCACACCCACATACAGAGATGTTAAGGCCTCACTCCCTTTTATCCATGTCTAACTGGACACTTACCTGAGTGTCTTTCCACTTGGTAATAAAACTGTTCTCTATGTCCATTTGTTTGACTTGGTCTTCATTTATCTGTATAAATAAATAATTTTGGAGTGATTAATAATAGTTATGGTAACAATTGCCAATACCACCCATCATCTTCTCATAGAAGCGGGTATGCAAAATATTCTATCAATCACAAACAGCTCTTCATTGATGGGACTCATTATTATAAACTTAATGGAATACTGAACATTGAAACAGAGGGGAATCAATGAAAAGCTGTAAAGCAATGTTATAGTGGCACAGTCAACCCCAAATCAAAATGGCCAATACAAATTGCTGTTAGTAGTAGCTTTTCTGTGCAATTGGATTTAACATTATTACTGGGTCTAAGGAACAAAACAAATTGTAATCACAGCTCAGAGACTAAGAACACAAAATCCTTCCATGCTTCAGTTCTGATCAGACCTATAAAATTTGATTAGAAGCATTATTTTTAATAGTCATAATCAGAAAATTTTCTTAAATTTAGTAAGCTTTTGACAGCAAGGAGAATGAGCATCATTTTGGAAAACAGTAGCTCATAGCATCCCATAAACAGTCTTTCCTACACAGGTTTAACTAACTGGGAAATAAAATCTAAAGCAGGCCAAAGAAAAACATCCACTGAATTAGAGTTCAAAAATCCTGTAAATCCTCAGCTCTTGAACTAGTAGGAAGACCGTTTTAAAGCAGATTTTTGTAATTTTGAATCTCTAACATCTGAGCAGGTAAGATATATATAAAGATACCTACATGAAAAAGTTGCACATAATTTTTAATTAGATCTTCAATTACATTGACTTCTTCACTAGTTTGGCCTTTAGTTTGAAATAAGCAAGAGGAAAACGCCACGGCTAAATTCTGAGGGTTCATTTGGTTAATTTCAGAACACTTCTGCACCCTGTTGAAGGAAAAAATAAACGTATTTAGACCGTTTCATTGTTCCTTTGATTGTCTGAGGCTACTTTACAAAATATGGAGAGCACTTCAGAAAAGGTAAGCACATGAAATGCAATGAAAACATGTACTATTACTTATTTATTCAATGTGTGTTTATACTCTATTTCTCATTACAGAAGTTAAAACTTTCTAACTGCATTTCAAGTGATATCAAAGCTACTTAGAATAGAAAACAACAAAACCAGAATAGAATACCTGAGTTAGAAGGGACCTATAACAATCACCTAGTTCAACTGTCGGATCGCTTAAGGGCGGACCAAAAGCTGAAGCATCTTGCTATGGGCACTGTCCATCTGCAGTGACAGGTTTGGATCATCCATCATCCCTCTTAAAAGCCTGTTACAATGTTTGACCACCCTTTTAGTAAGAAATGCTTCCTAATGACACGTTGGCATTTCTCTGGATGCAGTTTTGAACTATTTCCATGCACCCTACCACGAGATACCAGGGAGAAGAGATCAGCACCTCCCTCTCCCCTTCTGCTCCTCAGGAAGCTGCACAGACCAAGGAGGTCACCCCTCAGCCTCCTTTTCTCTGAAGTAGAAAAGCCCAGAGTCCTCAGCCACTCCCCACAGGCAATTTCTTCCAGCCCTTTCACCGGCATTGTTGCCTTCCTCTGGATGCATTCAAATACCTTAATGTCCTTTAACTGCAGACCCCAGAACTGCACACAGCACTCCAGTTTCACTATATTATGTAATGTAAGCACATCCTACAAACTTGAGATCAAAGATCAAACAAACTGTGGAAAAAAAATAGGTCCTTCTTACTTCCTATCCCTATGGTAAAGCTTTCATATCAGTTCTGCTGTTTACATAACATGCCCTCTTTTAAAGGCAAATACTTTAAACTACCATAGAATTTCAGCCTTTAAATGCATTAATTCATACTACTTTCAGAACAGATGCAACATCATATTAATATCTCTAGCTAAACAGCTTAGAAACTTCTTAAACCCAATATGTAGTACAATCTTTATCCAAATAAGGGCACCAATTTCACAATCATATAAATATTTTTAATTACATTGGCTATGTACCTGTCTATGTACCATAATTTCTGAACACAACATCCTGTAAAGAGAACTTTCTACACATTCTATACTCACTGCAATTCACCAAAAATACAATTTGACTTGTTCAATAGATGATATAACATAGACCAGTATTATTTAACTGTGACACCTCAGAATCATCCTGTCACTTATTTTTTACACATTTTCTGCCCCTTATTTGATCTAGAAATAAGTCATGACCTTTGGTGCTTAAACAAGTTTGTATTTTGGATATTCTCTGCCACCTACCTCAGTTGTAAAATGAAGCACTGATGAAAAACAGAAAGGGTAGGTAATTCTCAAAGTTATTATGTGCAAAACAGATTGTGGAGAAGGACATTTTCACTGGCAAAAATATTTTAATTTCAAGAACCATTTGCAACAATCCTCTGGAAGACTAGCAGACTGGAGTAAAATGAAATTTCATAAAGAAGCTACATCAAAAATTACCCTATTTGGACACATACACTGGCAGCCCTCTCTCTCTGCAAGGCTGTTCCAATCCATTGATTTTTATAGATATCTACTGCTAAAAATACAACCAAAGAAAAAACACATTATCAATTAAAGGAATTCAAAAGTAATTAATTTCTGCAACTAGATAAGCTTTTGTGATTACTAGCTAATGAAACAAGGTCCATTTCATATATTGTAGAGTTGTACTGAGAACGCATTATAAGAATTTCTCTGCTACAATGCACTATTTGCAATGACCTGTAAAGATGTTCAATTAAAGCAGCCAAAGTTGCTCTATTGACTGGTGGAAGACTCCGAATAAAAGCTCTGTACTTCCTCACACGCTCCTTTTCATTCTGTGTATCTGCCAGAAAATAATAATCGTTGAGCATTAATAACAATGCACACTAAAAACCAACAGCAGTTCTCATTAACTGTATCAGCATCATCTAGTCTTTTAAAATTACTATTTACCAAATCAACCTCTTCTTCATAAAGTCAATGCTGACAATGTACTATTTAAAAAAATCTACTATTGTACACCAGTTCAGAGAAACACCAATAAAGAGGGACAGTTCTACATTCAAGCACCATTTGCCACTGTTTAAGACTAAAGCCCAGAACAACAATTGCATTTTTTCTCAAAGTCTATTTAATTTGTAATTTGTGCATGTACATGTATGAGTGCAACAGTGTATGCACACATGCAAATGTACTTCTAAGAGTTACCAGCAATGAGAAAGGAAAAGATCTTTTTATATTTTAAATATGTACTGGACAAGTGTGTGAAAGCACAAAGTAGTTTAAGGATCTAAGAATATGTAAGACTGATTAGAGGAGAGAGAGGGGAAAGGGCTGATAAATAAGCCACATATAGCTGAACAATGGCATGGCCAATGGCAGGAATTCCAGTTTTGGGAATGACGGTATCTGAAACACAACCACAGCTCTCTACCTAAAGTCTGCTGGCCCATGCTGCCCCCTTATGCTCAGGGCATAAACAAAGTTAATGCAGATTGTATTTAGCTAGTTTGCTTTTCCCTCAGTCCCTTGCTTCTCTCAAGTTTCTCAAAAGAAAACACAGAAATCTTCTGGATGATTGATAATGCTCTCCACTACTATGTTTTGGTGTATCTGGTAATTGGAAGAAAAAGTAAATAAAACAGCAGTTTAAAGGCCTTCTACTCCATTTCCTTAAATGTTTTAGCCTTCCTAGAAGTTCCTTCTGTATCACTTAACAGGACAGGATTTTCTGTTGTAAAGCTGAAGTAGAATTTTAGCCATGTCTACATATGAGGAAGGGGAGTCATTGTAACACCATTAAAAAGACCTGACAAATCTAAACTGCCTCAGAACTTATGTTTTCTGATGCAATGTATCATGTGGTAAGTGAATAAACGCTTAATACTTTTTCCTGTAGTCTCTAAAATTGAGTTTAAAGGTCGAAAATATGTAATATTTTAATTTTCTGAAAGTCTAGTGGCTCATATTAAAGCAACATCCATATAGTTGAACTTAAATAAAATCAAAGAGGAATATGCTTTTAATATTTCTTTATAAAGACAAAATGTGCCACACAAAAATATGCATATGTGACTCCTGTGCATTAAGATAGAAATTCATGTTTTGTCAGCATTTCCCATGCATCTCTTACTGCTGTGCCTGCAATTTTATAGCTCAGTCTGGCAGGGAAACCACTTGTTTCTTGCAGTTTGCAAACATTGCAATATAGAGACTGACATTTTAAAAGAACATTATAAAAATCATCTCTGATTAACATGCGTCTATTACAGCCGTGCCCCAAATATTTTTTCCTCACTACATTGTTTTGCCAGTTATGAAATAACATAGGTCAACAACACAGGGCAAGTAAATTAACAACCCCCTCAAATCTGATACTGGAAATAGTACATATAACATTTATTGTATTGAATGTTATTGAATACCTTACCTAATGCAGAGATCCAGAATGGATAAAGTTCTTTAGTGAGAAGGGCATCATCTATTTGAGAAAGAAAACTTTTCAGTACATCCGTCACATCTTCAAGCTGATGTTTTCCTGCCCTTAGTTTAACACTTCTTGCATCTTTTTTGAAGCTTTCCAGCAGTTCAGCCACATTGGAAGAATCCCCATTCTTAAGATAGATTTGCTTGCTACCTAAACCTAAGGCACAAAAATACAGAAGAGAAAAATAAATTAATGTAAAATTAAGTATTCTTTCAAAAATTTCAGACATCACTATATGAAAATTATATGTGGCTGCCAAACAATTATATGTGGTCACATTTTCTAACAGTATCTTTCTAATCTTTTACACATACTCCCTTTATTAGCGAAAACACTGCCAAGTCTTCTTATACCCAAGTAGACCTCTTTGCAAAAATACTCATCATAATAGTAAGCAAGCCTGGGATGATTATTTCAAGAGTAATCTACAGGCACTTCAAATCCACAAATCTCTTCAGGGCTTCCTGAAACAGTACTTTCAAAAGGCATAGTAAAGAGAAGAAGTTTTGATTATAGATATTATATTGCACATAAAACACAGCTGCTTTCATGAGAAAAATCTTTTTATTTTATTACTCTATGGATGAACTAAGCTTAAGACTGAAAGTATTATTGCATTCATCCAACCTGAAATATTTTATTCTTAAAAGCCTCAGGTTAGTAGAAAATACCCTTTTTTCTGATTTTTCTCATTTCTGGAAGACATCAGTCAGCTACTATTCTTATATGCAAAAAAAAAAAATCACTAAAGTCAAATTAAAAAGAAAATGTAGAGTTTAAAACAAAGTCATGACTACCTTCAATCACTACATGTTATTGTAGTCAAAACTTTTGTTTTTTAAAACTTGAGTTCTATTGCTAATAATTAAAAATAATTTAGCAAAAGCTTTTTTTTCTTACTTTTAGGAACTAGGTGTAATCCAAATACAACTATTTACAATAGTGCGGTGTTGCCCTATCCAAAGGTTATTTAGTTGAACTTCAATGACTCAAATAGAAATTAGGGATCTCATACTGACAGAGGTTATAGACACATTTATCCCAAAGACAGATATGTACAGGGTTGATATGCATGTAGCAATCTCACCAGAAAACTCATGAATTTGCAGTAGTAAAAGTACACAAACATCATTTGAAAGTAACCTAATGCCACAGAAAGTTATGCTGGTAAAATTTACTTAAATAAATGGTAACCAACTATACAACCTTAGGTTATTTCACTGCAAAAACAGCAGCCTAAGACTGAACTCAACTCCACAGTTAATGCCAGCTTCCAAGATGTGTTCAGACCACAGCTTTTCCAGGTTTGCAGACTTCGTTTTCTGGGCAGAGTTGTCTGCACTGGGGCAGTGGACCCCAAGGCTGAGTTTTGTAAGGCAAACAACACAAAATTTAAAATAGAAAAGTGTCTATAAAGGGTATTTACCAGGCTGTATTTCCCCAGAATGGCCATTCTCAGATGTGTGGTAGTGTATTGCACCATCTCATTACAGAACGGCAAAGCTAATGAGGGGCATAGTTTTACTTTAAGTAATATATAAACTCATTCAATAGGACTTGGTACTGGGGGCGCTTAGGTATTACACAAATGATCTTAGTTTGAATAAAATCCACTCTACTTACCATACTGTGTAACAAACGCTATGCAGCTGTTCACTATAATAGGGACATCATTTTTGCTGAGCTGCTGATCTTGTAGTGCATTACCATCTGTACCTGCTGCTTTTTCAATTGCAGTATACCAGACCATGAAATCCAGCTTTGTATGGCCATGGATGTATAGCGTTCTGAAAATTATAAAAATATTTTGAGTTCAGGAAAGAAATTAAAAACTAATGTTATTGTACCATGGCAACAAAGCAGATGTTCAGAAAAGAAAAAAAAATATATATATATATATACTCGGAGTAAGACATCATGGCACCTTTCACCACATAAAGCTGTGACAGTAGTCTATTGTTACAGCATCTTCTTTTTTTTCCAAATTCATCTGTATTACCAGTGCCATAAAAAATGAAAGAAGATCCACAAACACTGTCACAAGCCTTTGAAAGAACCTGCCAGTACTTTAATAACTCTTCTTCAGTTTTGCTCCTACATTTTGCATTCATGTGTCCAAGCCATGGCTAAGGAAACAAATGTAGAGAGAACTTTCAACACTGTAAGCTTTCCTTCTTTTGTATTCACACCCCAATACACCCTAGACACCCACCAACCTCTGTCTGTCGAGTAGCTGAGACATACTTCTCCCCTTACACAAATATCAAAATGATCACCCACTACCTCAAAGCTAAGGTACATATATGAAAAAGCTATGAGCTGAAGCAGAATAAGTTAATGCAGCACTTTGCTGTGTCTCAAAGCCCAGCCTTGTTCTGACTCTTTAAGCATGCTACAGTAATCACCTGTGTGGCACCCTGACAAGCTAGCTTCTAAGAGAAAATATCAAAATTGAAAAGTTTAAGGGGGTATGTCCAACCATATGCATGTGTGTAATAAACAGCTGTTTAAAGTGTTAAAACAGTAAGCAAACTTTTGTACATACGTTGTTTTATCTTCACTAAAGACATGTAAGGGATCAATTTTCTCTAACGACCATTTATTTGCTAATTAGGATAAGTCAAAATGCTCTACTGAACTTCTATAAAAACAGTTTCATGTAAAGACAAAATACATTTATTTTGATCATCATTTTATATGATGAGGGAATACTTAATTTCATTTCTTTTTGTTAATATCTTTCAATTTTGCTTTTATAAATGTTTCCATTCTAGCACTCCTATCTTGGTAGGAAGTGGGGATGCAGTCAGTGTATTACATATACACAGCCAGGATCTAAACTTGTCTCAGGATCCACCATACAGACTGAGCCATAGAGCAGCAAAGTAAATGAAACTAAAATATTTAATCCCACTGGACCACATTTTTAGGAAGTCTTTATGTTAATGACCACATATACCTGCATAGTAGAAACAAAGTCTCTCTCTTCCACTAAGAAAAAAAAATAATTTTCAAAAACTTCTATTTTTACAGCAAAACGAGTGTGCCTAATTCAGTGCTGTCGAAAGCTTCCTTAAGACTTGTCAAAACAGGTAGGTCTCAACCAATGCCTTCCAAAGAATCACCACATTTTCTGGTATTGCAATGCCATACAAATATAAGGAAAGTAAAACGTTTGAAGTGAGTAGAAAAAAGTTTGACAGTGCAAGATACTTTACTCATTTCCTACTATTTATTCATAAACCAGAAGAGGTTAGGACAATGATTTATAAAGCTTTATGGTGCTTTCCAACACAAGAAATGTACATACATATGAAAATTACTGGAGGTTTGTTTCCCCTGCAGAACAGCAGGACTCACATTGCGGTATTATGCAAAAGGATAAATGGAAGTCTCAACAGATTATTTTTTATCCAAAGAATTACGATATATACAGAAAGCACATAGTGTAAAGTGAAAATATTATTACTTCTAAACAAGAAAAGGGCAACTCTGCTGCATATCAATGAATTGATACCAGAGGAGGAGAGAAAAAATACTGTACTGAACTTCAAAGGTCATATGAACTTATCAACATTTTTCACAGAGATACGAAAGTCTCATTATGTGCCTGTCAATCAATTGTTGTGATATATGAAATACATAAACTATGTGGAAAAGATCACCTTGTATTTTATGGATCTTTCCATCTTCCCCTCAATGCATCACGTTAGAAAAAATATTTCAGAAATACAAAGTGATGATGTTCTCATTGTTTTCTAAAATTTAAGAAGCTGTTGAGCTCAATTCAGTTACAGAGGAAGAGGCTACTTAATAATTAGCAAAGAAAACATGGTATTTGTTGAAGTTGTAGTCCCATGGGACAAACACAGGCATGAAAGAGAACTTGTTGGTAAGAAATAAAATATGAAAATCATATCGCTATCACGGAATCTGGATTGTTCATAGAAGGCAACTAATTATTTTTGAAAAAAATTATACTTGCCCAGTCAAAAATCTCCAGAGTGGTGTCATGAAAAAGTAAGATAAAACAGAGACACATTTGCACCACAAGAGCAAAGAAGGGAGAAAAAAAAACTAAACTAGTGCCAGACACATTTCAGAACTCAGTCAATTTCCCATGGAAGTGGCTTAAAAAGCTCATCTCAAACCTCAATCATTTTTGGCTGACAGAACACACCTGGAATAAATTTAAATCAGAAAAACATAAAACAATTTAAAAAAAAGATGTTTAAAGCAGTCCTTCTCAGTTTAGTCCTTCCAGACAAATGTAACAATTTTTTCTTCCCTAATTGGAAAGAATTTTTTATCTCCTTGAACCTGGAAGTAATGAAAAGAAAAGGAGAAATAATTCCCAGCAGAAGAGCAGAACTCTCCTCAAGCACAGTAGAAGTCTTCTACAGAACTTCATGAAACAATGGAGATAACTTTGCAGATTTAACATCTGTGTGTTCGTCTCTTTCATAGAGTTTTCAGACAGAATTAATAACAAATACATGCATTTCTCACTGAACTAATTGTCATTATCAAAATATAAAGTAATATTAAATTCAAGGCTTAAGACTAAGCATAAACACAGGCTGAAATATAGTGATGTCCCATGCAGCACAAAACTGAGGAATTTAAAGAACTTATAGAAGCAATCAGGATTGAAAGAATTTGTACTGTAATGTTTATGAAGATCTACCATGCAAATTACCAACTATTTCCACTCAAGTAAAATGCATTCCTTCAACACAAATGCACTGCCTTCTATAGCATGTTTACGAATGTGCTATTTTTTCAGTTCTAAAAATTGATAAAGTTCTCACATTTCATAACAAATAGTTAGCAATAATGACATGGTGAAAAATGGCCGAATTTTTACTACGCCGTGTGAAGCACATACAGTCCATAGCCAAGAAATTAATAATTTAAGTACTCAAACAAACAAGGCAGTCTGCCAATGTAGATTTCTGCCTTAGTGAATTGAGAGAATTGAATTGGCACAAGTGACTGCAGCAGATCAATGAGTCTCAACACTGAGGAAGCTACCATTACCTACACAGCTTTATTGTTGACTACCAGCACATCCTTCTGCCCAGCAGTCAGACAGACAACAAATGTGATCACACTTCATGCACAAGAGTGCAAAGGCTTCTCTTTAACCCATCCTGCAAAGTCCCCTAGCTTTAGCTATATCTATAGGCTTTGCTACACAGCTGTGCAATGGGAAGCAGCACTAATAGGTGATTTTGGGTAAGGGGGGGCAGAGAGAGTGAGGAACAGACATTGGCACAACTCAGTGCCTTTTGGCAATTACCACATGACTCTAATAATTTATGTGTCTGAAAACAGAGATACTACAATATGAAATTATTTTAAAAAATCAAATTGCAACTGAAGTATGGATGTTCCATTAAAAATTACTGTTAAATGTAACCAAGCAGTATTTCTTCAAGGGACTCTTCAAAAGGTCTTACATCCAGCATGCTATATTGGAAGCATAAGTCCTTTCAGATGACTCTTAAGTTTATATTAATTCTGGATTTTAGAATTTTGTGCCCATAACTGCATTTTATGAGAAAACTTACTGCTATCATCAAAGGGTTAAGAAGAAAGCACTGAATGAACCATCAGCCTAAAGAAATTGTGCCAGTATGTAGGGAAGGTTTATTATCCATAATAAGAAAGAGCTAACTACATCAGAAGCATAACAGGGGGAAAAAGCACCATCTGGATTACATAAAGGTCTGAAAACATTCACTGACACCTAGAGAGAGCTTAAATTATTTCAGAAGAATATAAGAAATGTTTGAAACTGAACTATCTGCATAACTGTTTCTTTAAAGTGCAGCATTAGAGATTTTGCATTAAATTCTACATATATAGAAGATATATTCCAAATATATAGAACATATATTTAAAAACTACTGTATACAGATGTTTTCAGGCAACTTTCTTCTTTTCATTCTGCAGATCCCTCTGTTGGTCTCTGCTGAACTACATAAGAATAGCTGTTTCACCAATATGCTATGCAACTTCTGTTTGGACAGCAACAGGAGGTCAAGTATCACCAGTCACTTCAAGCATTTTAAAAATGCAGAGATCAAGAGAAAAAATCTAAACTGAATATGGATCAAAATAGAGGACAACTCTGAGTGACAAAGGGAAGCCTCAAACACAGAAAACCTTAAAATTGTTTGCCACTTCTAGCAAGAAGTCAAGAAGCATTTCAACTACGAAACTACAATATTTCACTATGAAAGTGAAAAGCAAGAAGTGGCAAATGGCCATCTGATTAGGGTGCAAAACTATATAGCACAGTGTTGTGAGAAGTCAAGATTTCCAGCGGAGTTAGATACAGTTCTAGCAGTGCAGATAATATGCTCCATAGAGACCAGAATGCAATAAAATTCCAGTAGGTGTTTAAAAAGAGCATGTTCTGTAATTTACTTTAGTGAACAGGCATTAACATGCATGAGATCTGAAAAAAAAAAAAAAATGCAGAATTAAAAGTCATCTAGAATTATCGTGAAAATTTACATTGAGCTTCAAAACATTGAGTACATTGAGCTTCAAAAAAGACAACAATCTTCAAAAAAGATGAAGTCTTGTGGTTTCAGAGATCTTTTTTTGTGGTTCAGCCTCTGATGATATGCTATTACCTGGTATGATTGCCACCTCTTATTTCTGAGCTGGTAGACATCATCAGCTGAACATGTCATATAGAGAATAAATGAACAGCAGGGTGCCAAGCAGAAAGCAGGGTAAATGAAGGGGTGGTAAAAAAAGAAAAGGTAGCAGTGGATTGTACTAATATTTAAGACATTTTGGGAAAATCTCACATGCCTTTTTTGGTAGTATTGTCTCTGAATTATTGTATTTTATACAAGCTCTAAAGTACTATGTACATTATGTCCCAAAATTAAGTGTAAATTTTTCTTCTGAGTAGATATGTATCAGATTAAGGTTAAATTTTTGTATCCCAAATTCATTATGTTTTTAAGAATTAAGAATTCATAGATTTATTACACTGTAATAATTTTGGCAGTAAGAATAAGTTTTTATAGTTTTGGAAAATGTTTATTTGCATATGCAAATCATTTTTAAGTGAGAAGTCCATTTGTAACAACTGAAGTCATTCTTTTACCTAAGTAATTAAAAGAAAAGGTGTGAAACAGAAATATTCGACACATATAAATGTGCGACTTTTCCTAATTAAGCAGCCCAAAGACTGAGGCTTGAAGCAAAAGACATAAGTATTTGTAAGAAACGGAAAGTCAGCAGAAAAATACCTCAAAGAATTTTCATAAAATTTTCTAATAAAGTTTAATGAGACACTTTAAGATATTCCTCACATTTACTTTTTATGCAAAGGAGGGTGGCTTTTTTGGTTTGGTTTATGGTTGTTGGGTTGGTTTTTTTCTCCAGAACTTCTCCTAATTCTGAAAAAATCTTACTTGTTTTATTTAATTCTTTCAATACTACTCTCTATTTATTTTATAATTTATCATGTATTTAAGTGACTAACAAATTAACAAGAAAGTCATCAGCTACAGAGAGTCTCTTTCAAGGGCTCAATTTGCGCCAAAGTTGACATTAGACAAGCACTGATACAAATTAACAGGCAGAATAGGAAAACCTAGAAACTTTGACATTTCATTTAGTTGATGCTGATGACATCTCAAGGATATTAATTTATCTAGAGCTTGGAGGAGCACAAAGAGGATTTATTTCCATTTACAGTAATTGAGTCTAAAGACAAAGGTGATTTTGTATTTAATCATCTTCCACACACATTCAATTGCTTATCACGTTAAAATGCCATCTCATACAACTGCACTGCACACTTCGATAGTTCTGAAGAAATATCGTAAAAAACAATCACCATGCTAAAGCTTAAACACCCATATGGCTTTCCATGCTTAAGATATTGTGAAGACTATGCATTTAAATTCTTTATGGCAGACTTCAGTAAAGAAAAATTAAATATATTCATGTCCACCTTAAATCAGCCAGTGTCCCTGTTGAAATTATTTTCAAATAGTCCAGAATTTCCCTTAAACTACTAAAGTGGTTCAGGGAAAACCTACCCTCACTTGAAAGAAATACTCTAATGAAATAAATAATAAACCCGGACTTGGAGTTAAATTTTTTTCTCAGCACTAAGACCTGTGAAATTATATGCATGGTTTATATCCATCTTTTGCACTGCACCTTGAAGAGGATACCTCAGGTTCCCTGTTTGGTGTATATAGCTTACTTAATGCTGCATCTTTCAAGATGCCTTTTTGTAAAAAACAAACACAAACCAAAACAAATCAAACCAACAAACAAACAAAAACCAAAAACAAAACAGAACGCCCTCCCAAAAAGACAAGAAAAAGTGTTTCCTTCTAACCTGCATAGCCTTACTCAGTTCTGAAACTTATACAATACCCTAGAAAGAGTTAAAATTCAGAACACACAAGTTACAATGCATTTCTGACAAGCTATTCCAACTCTGAATAGACATCAAAGGTATCTAGGAAGTTTTGGTTGTTTGCTGAAGAGAAAAACACCCTTCATTTATTAACCTACTATTGGCTGCTCAAAAGACTATAAACACTGTACCACTTAAGACAGACTCTTGCCCAATAACCTGCCATTGAAATAAAAACAGCCTCAACCTATTAAAAACTAAGAATTGTCTTCCACTATTTTTACTTTCATCTTTGAATTTGTTGAATATTTGAGGCAGAAATACCTACCTCATCTCAAGTTCCAACCTCCTCTATCACTCTAAATATGACACAGTCATCTCAACCAAATATTACCTACTTGGAAGCAAATATGGATCATGTTTGCTTTGTAAGTATGCTTTTTGCTAGACTGTATGTTTTTAACTGAGATCAGATATTACAATAAGATTACCAGCAGACTCATTCATATCCTCTCAAACCTGATCTAGGCAGATTGAGATATAGAATTCTGAGACATAAGAACAATTAAAATCTCAAGTAGTTTGTAGTAAAAGCTCCAAATAGGTACTCTTTTTTTTTACAAGGTAAAAGGAGTTCGCTCCTTTTGAAGAAATCATTATTGGCAGACTAATCTGGGAATAATTTTGTAAGTGGGAAAACAGTTTTTAATTAAATAGTGCTTGTTAACATTTTGTGACACAGACATAAAACGTAATTAATGCACAAAGTTATTCCCTCCTTTAAAAACTCTGCAAATTTACTTTCTTGCTAGCAAGCCTAAATGAAAAAACTCCAGAATTTATCAACAATAATGCTAAGACATCACTATAAAAGCAGATCAAATATTTTTTTCAGATAGGAACCTCACCTTCCTCTTTCAACGAGCAGCAGGACATCTATTCTCTCTCCATTTTGCATCACACTGCTGGTTGCTGAAAACAAAACACATAAACATTCATATGACCTTCACAGACATATATTTATAGACAAACACATACATGCCTGCACATACAGACAGACATGTTTTTTTCAAAATGATCTCCAGTGGCAAAAGGAGCATGGAATTCATAAACTCTGCAAATAAAGAATGCTGCTGATACAGAAACAAAACTCCACAAAATACCATACCACAATACATTTAAAAGAAAAATTAATACAAAATATTATCAAGAAGGTTTAAACATACTTTTTAATGTGAAAACATGCTACAGTGTTTTATTATACTCAACTTGTAAATACAAGTTGTAGAAGACATAATGATTCAGAAGTAAGCCAGATTTCGGAATCCATTAACTTTTTGCACTTTAATGGCTGCACATTTTTACAATAAGATAATGCAAGTTATCTGTTTAGCATGAAGATCAGTGCTACCCTTCTTTATGTTGCCTTATGTTACCCCTGCTAAAAAAAGCAGCCTGTAAAACATCTACATTGTACATAACACATCAAATACATCTAGACAGCTTTCAGTTGCACCACTGAAAAACTATACCGTGCACTACACTAAAACCAGTAAATTAAATGTAATCTACTTACTAATTTGAAATTCTGAAAACTTAATTTCTCAGTGTGTGTCATATATAATCCACACCTTATTTCAACTAATTCCCAGAGAGAGTAAAGTCCTAAATAGCAATGAAAACGAATAAACACATTGCATGTTATATGCTGGTTTTGTATCACACAAAGTCCCAGCCTCATCTATATTTACTAAGTCAAATAGCAAGAAGGTAAGTTGCTATACTTTCACAAATGATTCGTTAGTTTTCAAGTTTCATTTACAAAAATTAGTATTAATAGTGGAGCAGATATATTCTGGAGAAAGCAGAAATCAAAGAAAAGAATATGGATACATAATATTTCCAAGAAATACAACCAATATTAAAAACCCCAAGCAAAACAAATTCTCAACTGAAAGTCAAAAGTGTTTCATTTTTATACATGAGATATAATATACACAGATTTTGCACGCTCTTATGATTCTGGCAGAGGCAATTACAGTTGCATCATCAAAAAAATATCAGGAACAGTTCTCCTTTTGCCTAATCTTTTAATTCTGAATTAAGATCAAAAGTATTCACAAGTTAAAAGACACCTAGAGGCATAAAAACACTCCTGATTAAAAACCACCTTCATGGTGTCATTTACACCAAATATAAGATGGCAGTAAATAAACAGTAGAAAACTCAATGGCATTTAGGCAAGCTCCTGCGAAACAGTCCACAATCTGTCAGCATTTATAAAGAGTATCATCAACAAAGAGCTAAATTATCTTCTCTATGTTACTTTATTATAAACCTCAAATTATATGTATTTTTCTATGTAACATATTGCCTTGTTCAATATAAAAACAAGTAGGGCAGATATGCTTAAAAGTGGGTTCAGAGCATAATTACAAACTATGATATAAAATTGGTCACAGAAGACCATTTGTACAAATATTCTTATCTCTACATATCGTGATACTGAGCAAATAATATTTTTATTATCGGAAAAAAGTCTATTAGTCTGTGAAATAGTTTTCCAAAAGAACTATAATTTTCCAGTATGTTTGAGTATTTTAAAACTAGACCTGTCAATCATCTCAAGAATGTGTTCTGCCCTGTGAGTATTTCTGCCCTGTCAAAAATATGAGACAATAATCCCAAAAGGTTTTATATTATTATTCAATTCTGTACTCTTGTAAGAAAGATAATGCTGAAACTGGAACAAAAACTGTCATCATTCATTTTAAAGCTGTGAAAAATTTCTCTAGCATGTGCCAAAAAGTAGGAAAAAAAACCCCAAGACAGAAATTGACACACCCCATATTTAGATAAGAATTGGAACATCTGACTCATGTGAAGGGATAGTTACTAAGCTTCCCAATATTTATTACTTTGAAATGTACTAGAAATGTCCTTAATGGTGAATTAATCCCAAAGAACATTTTCTGAATACTAGATGTTCTTACTTAGTTCTTGCAGTCTTCTTAGATATATGGAATCTTCTTCAGCATCCTCCATTTCAAGACAGAAATAAAGGCTCGACTTCTCTATAGCAAACCAGCCTTTTCTCCACTGATCAAGGTTATGGCAATCTTTGTAGTACAACTGCCCAATAAGGTCACAGTCTCGCTCCAACAATGATTCAGCCACAGGGGGAACAAAATGCTACCAAAGAAAATGGGGTGAGTCAGATGAAGAAAAAAACCCTCTGCCCCTAAAAAACAAAAGCAAAATATTGCAAATCTACAGGAGTCTAGGATGAAGATCACAGAAGAAAAACCACAAAACTTTGAGATATAAAACTCACATTCATAATCCCATAGATACACTAAAATTCAAATGTAAAATCAAGTTTAGCATTTTTTTCCATTCATGCTCTACAATTCAGAAATTTTTGCTTTTAAACTACCATTGATTTAATTAGTAATTTGAGTCTTAACATTTGGAATAGTATAAAATATGGCATCGCTTTATGAATTCCATTTCAGCAAATAAATTTAATAGAATTGCAACCATAAAAAGCTGAAATATACAGTATATTATTTTATACTTATATTTTTAAGGTCAGCTTTAAAATGCTGCTTCAATTCCTTTCACATTTTATTTTATTATCTTGTTTCAAACACTAAATCACAAAAGTTATTTCTTCCTGCTGCTCAAGAAACCTTTACATGAAGCAGAGATCAATATTCACCAATAACGGCTTCTCAAAGGTTTTAAGCTAACAATGGCACTTTATTATTTGTGCAAAGGCTCCTGGCCTAACCTGAAGAAGATAATTATCAGCATTACCTTAGCTATTGCTGAAGTCCATTTTCTTTGTGATTGTGCAGTTTCAGCTCCAAACAGAAAAACACGTTCTGACAGTAAGTGCATTTCAAATGTAAAGATGTCTCTAAAGCAAGTAAGAGAAGAAACACAGATGTATTTAGTCTCCAAAAGAACAGACATACAAGTGTCTTATTTCACTGTTTTTTCATTCTTTCATACGTATGGAATGGAATCCATCTGCATTTCTCCTCCAATATTACAAGTACAGCCTAGGTAATAACAAAGCACTTTAAAATACAACAGGATCAAAGTACTTTGCAGGTCAATAGCACATATTTAGAGGCTATGTTGTAATAGGTTTTTGAATAATGCCAAAATGCATAAAAATGTTTACATATAGTCATTAAAAATGCATAGGGAATTTTTTTCTTTTGCAAGCTCCTGTTATTTGATCAAGCACATTTTTGTGATGCATTCAGAAGATTTTTTTGTATGTTTAATATAAGCTGAACAACTAGTTGAATGCGAAGCTGTAAACAAGTTGAAATGGTGGTTTATAGGGACTTTTAGATGTCATTTGGTCTAATCTCCTGGTCAAAGACGGATTATCACAATGAGAAGCCAGTCATGGATGGAGAGTACTATTCTGGTCACCAACCTGTTCCTGCCCTCCACCTGCCCTCTAACTGAAGAGCCTTTTCCTGTCAGACAGCCTGAATGTGCTGGAGTGAAAGGCATGGTCACTGTGTATCACCTGCCATCAGTAAGAAGAGTAGGAATACTTTGAAGTTGCTGTAGCTGAAGAAACACTTAAAAGTTTTCTTGAGGGAGGTTCTTGGGTATTTTTCCTGTTAAAAATTATACCACTATTTAAGCAGATGACCCTGTTTATTCAATTTTTAATGGACAAATAAGAAGAAAACGCAAACCAGTTTAAATTGGTGTGGAATCTGGAAAGCAAATATCGTGCTGAAGTTGGGGTCGGCTACTCTTTAACTTACAAATTCTGGTTCAACAATTTATAGCATGAATTTGTCTGTGACCTCTCAATAGATGCTTAATGGCAAATGGCATTTGGCATTCTTTTTCCTTTCAATGCTGAAGCCTGAGATTTGTCTAAAAGTGGAGAACTGAGTATGAGTCGCTTCTATAATTTTCAATAGCCACATTGAAAATTATATATACACTTAGTTCTGACTAACAGAATAGGCATTTTTAAAGACCAGCTATTTCACTACATGAAATATCAAATCTAAATAAAATTTCTCATAAAATTCCTCAATCACAGGAAAGCACAACAGGAAGTTAGTTATTTCCAAAGTGTGAAGTACTCAGCCAACATGGTTTTTAATTTAGTTATTACCCTAAATGGAACCATTTGGAAATGCAACAAGCAATATGTTAGATTTGAAGATGGAAGAAAAAAGTGATTTTTTTTCTGGGTATCATAGAGGTGCTGCAGAATAGAAGGTCACTTCTCTGTATTTGATAGCATATTAAGACATCACCATGTTTCAGGATTTCTCTCCCCTGTAGTAGCTCAAGTCCTTTACTCCCATTATCTTTTTCAGAAGTTTACTCAATAGACTATGCTTTCTTTGCAGACGATTTTGCTTTGTAACTAAAAGCATTACAGTATTATACTATAGAAAGTTATTTTTATTTTAGGTGCATGTACACAGGTTCAACAACAAAAAGATAGTGTTATGAAGTCTGTTAAACAAATACAAAGCATATTGCACAAAAGTTACACTAAAGAAATTGAGTATCATTGGAATCAGATTTAGGTCACTCTCCATGTGATGTTTTTCATGTACAAATGGGATGTGAGAGAGTTATAAAAGAACAAACAAGACCTCCAATCCTACCAGAAATAAAAGCTGGTTTCTTCCAATTAAAAATTTAATCAGTTACACTGTTGTTCTCAGCCACAGAGCAGCAAAAGGATTTCAAAAACCAATACCTCTGTGACCAATCTAAAAGCATTGTGGAGAGCTCTTGTCTGCTGCATTAGAAGGAAGAAGCAATGCAAGAATTTTGGCTTGGGGCAGAGGTCAATCCCAGAAAGAAAAATTAGTATTAATTGTTCAATTTATCATCATGTAACCTATCAAGCACTGATAATATGCATTACAGATTTAAAAATAAACAGATGCATCTAATTTAAGCTGCCCTTTTAAATTACCCTAATATTTTCATCATATCACTATAAAAAATCCTTATATATCACATAGCACTAATGTCTTGAAGCCAAATAAAACCAGATTTTTTCTAAATTGCCTATTTAAAATTCAAGAAAAAAATGAACAGTTTGTTTACTGAAATACAAATTCAGGAGCTTACCCTCTATTTAAAAAGAAGTCTGACTTGTGCACTACAAGACAGATAACTTCATTGATGTCAATCATACCATTAGGAGTGGTAGTTTTATCATTTTCATAGTAGCTCAGAAAGCCACTTTCCAAAGTGCACCATCTTTTGTTGCAATCTGTGATTAAAGAAATAATAGGAAGGTCAGATTTCCTTAAGTTTCGGGGTTTTCTTAAATAAGCAAATACAAGATGGAGAAAAAAGTCTGCAGAGCACCTTCAATAAATCATTTGGTATATTTAATTACAACTAATTGTTTACTTCCTCTAATGTCCTAAAATATGAATACAACACATGATATAGCATAGTAATGTCCATTTGCTACTGAAAATAATCATTAATTCATTCTAGCTTATGCCTAGCTCTTAGAACGAAATCTGACGTGCATCTGTTTCCACTACTGCAGAGTGGATCCTAAAAGAAAATACTATTTTAATTTTCCACAGTCTAAAAATTACCGTACAGCTGAGAATTTGGTAAAACAGATCCACAAAAAAAATTTTTTTTGGCAAAAAAAATCCACAAAAATCAAGCCAAAAAACCACCTGTAATTTGCAAAAACTATGTTATCTGATATTTTATCTAATTGCTTTTTCTGTTCTCTTCTATATAGTTTATATTAATTTTATAAATGTTTTGGTACTATTTATTAATATTTCTTTGTATCATGCTATTTGCTATCGAGTACTATCTAGATTCTGTCTAAATACACATGTCAAGTACTAAAATAAACCTAAGATAAATGGCTTGATAATGTATAGGTTTAAAGGAGTTAAGCACCAAATTTTAAGGTTTTGAATGTTCATGGTTTTTGTCCCCCAGCTTTCCCTCCACCGTCTTCCAAAACCTATTCTACAAAACAGCTCATTACTTCAATATTCATTAAACTATTAAATTCTCAAGGACAATTTTGGAATATCGAGGCTTTTTAAAGGGCTCCGTATAACCTTTTACACTAGAAATGAAAGCAAAATCAAACTCGAGCCCCTAAACCTCTAAGCTTTATTTTTTGATCCACTGCATCAGAATAGCACCAGCATTTGAGCTCTCTTCCTGCTGATATCAACAGCTGTTAATTAACAACAACTCTCCTCAAAATGCATGCACCCCTGCTGAAAACACTGATGCCTCTATAATGAGCAGTACACACAGAGTTGGCTCTCTCCTGTACTGAGACACACATAATAAAAAACGAAGTTGTACTTGCAGGTGTTCCACCTGGCTGGTAAAAAACCTTGGTTAATTCGCAGCACTGAATGATTTCTTCAGTGCCCTTTTACTGTTAGGGCCAAGTCTGCAAAGGGGTAACCATTTCCTGTGACAACAAGCAAGCACTTAAATTTTCAGCCTTCGGTGCTGAAGGCAAGGCTGTCAACTGCCTCAGAGATCCCTAACACTGAAGAAGAACTTAATTCTAATGATTAAAACCCTCACAGGATTCTGAGTTGGAGCCCTATCCACACGCAGCATTAAAAACCAAACTAACAAACAAAAGCCCCCAAATTTGTCTAAATGCTGTGAGGAAATGGTGCTCCCTCTCTGGCCTGCAGAGGCCCCAATTAGTTCACAGCAAGGCAGAACTGCTTCAACAGGAGTTCTCTTCTCTAAAACTAGATAGGTCAGATTTTTCAGGTTACATGACCTTGTTTGAATATCTAAGGCAGAGGAGGGAATTGAAATTTTCTCCCACATATTAGTACTCTAACCCTCAAATTACTTCCTAAAGAGAGTAAGAAGGAAAAATACTATTTCCACTTACAGTAATTTGCAATATGAGTATTACTTCATGTTAGTGAGATTTAGAAACAATTCTGGACGTAGTAAAAGAAGAGAAAAAGAAAGATTATATATTTTATGTTTTGAATAGCAAGTACTTCTGTCATACTGCTTCTTAAACATGGCAGAGATAGAGTCCTAAGGCAAGAGTAGTTTCTCACACAAAGTTGCAGGGGTTTTTGTTGTGTTTTAAAGGATGCCATTACATCTCACTCCCTTGTTCCTTTTGTCTACTTGAAATGTAAATGGTCAGGGAAACCTATCTTCCTACGGATCTGTAAAGAGCCCATCCCAGAAACACCAGTCCTGACAAACCCATGGGTAATTCAACATCAATACAAAAACAAAGCAAACAAAGGCCCATGCCCAAAAAAGCAAACATAGAGTGTCTACAATCTTCAAGACACAATCACAGTTTCAGAGAACAAAACATGAGCTGAGAGAAATCTGGTTCCTTTCCATTTATTATATGTTCTCTCAAGTAGTAAGTGCAATGCTAAGCAACAGACTACAAACTTTCAAAGCAGCTTCATTTATATCCAATAATGACTTGAAATGGAAGACAATCAAAATTTCTCGCCTGAGGGCTTTCTTCATAAGATTTAAGACATCCTACTAACAACGCTCCGTCGCAGTGCATCTCCCCCGAAAAGGACTACAAAAGCCACTCTGTGAGCATTTTCAGCCAAATCTTCCATCTGTACAGGTATTTACAAATATGCTACTTCTAATATGACATTGTGTTGGAAGAGATTGCCTTGTATCTGCTCTCCACTTGGCTAAGCACTGACTTCTGGGGTTTTTTATAAATTTCTTTATGTCTATATACAGATACCCACAGCATGGAAGATCAGGTCTGAACTTGGAGCAAGTAGTAATAAGGTTTGCAGTTATTATTATTATAATAAACTCAAAGCAATTTCAGAGCAATCCCAATAAACTCCTATCCCAGCAGCAGTCCTCTGTTAAAAGAGGCATGTTTGTTAAGAACTGCAAAGTTGCTAGGAAATGCATGTGATCAGGCATTAGTTCTGTTATCACCCAATGCTTTTAAGAATTTGGAGCCACACTAACATAGATTCTCCAAAAGCATATTTAAACAGTTCTATGCTTTAGCATGCTTTTACTGTCCACTAAGAATCTTAAAGGCATAAGCCATGAGAATATGGACATAATCATACAAAAATATGTATAGACCAGTGCAAGACAGCATGTAAGGATTTCAGAAGCAATAAATTTGAGAATAAATCACCACAGATTTTAAAAAGCCATGTTATTGTTTAGATGGAAGAAAAATATAGGAAGGCAAATGGGAAGAAAAAGGGAAAAATTATCTGATAACACCTCTCTCAGAAAAAAAAAAGAAAAACAGAAGACTGATATGCACAGGAGGCCATGTATATCTACTGTGATATGCATGCATTATCACCCAACAAAGCTCAAGTTGTCATAGAGTCATTGCAGATGATCATTTCTACTTAGAAGACTTTGTAAATTTGTGAGCTTGAGAAATATCCTACTAAAAATTCAGTGCTACTTGTATATTTCTGTAATAGAATCATTTTAGATGAAAATTAATTCTTGGCATTAATCTAAATATAATTAAAGCAAGAAGTGTTTATGTTTGTTTTTTATTTATCAATTACTGTGTTAACTGAACAATTTTTCAGAAGTTCAGTTTTCTTCCTCTGTCAACTACTGAATGAAGAGATCAAGACAAACAGTATTTTCTTTATCTGAAAGAGGTCTACTGAATCAAAAGAAGACATTTCCTATCAAAGACATTTTATCTCAAAAAAAGTAATGCAAGAAGTTAAAAAGAATAAAATTAATCTATATCATACATATTCATGTGTTATTCAAATACATAAATTAAAAGTTAAATACCTTCTTTTAATTTCTTCTCTGTAGGAAGCTTAGCTGCATTAGAAGAAACTTTGTACAAGAATTCACAAAGAAAGGTGGAATGTGAAGAATCTTCAGAGAAGCCACTTTCAAAGCAAGGATCATAGTTTGGGAAATCTATTCAAAGACAAAGGAGTAAAAAACATACAGATCTTCAGTAATATCAGTTAATGCATGTGTTTAAATATGTGGCTGCTCTGCAGTATCTTTGCTACAACACTGATAAAACTTACTGGTTTCATTTTTATACTTAGAAAGCATATTCATTTAAAAAACTGGTTCACATTTGTTACAATTGTGACCACCTTGGCCACCATCAAGCACTGCTGGTCAAGGTAATATAAAATACTCTTTTCTGATATACCAAACTTTGATTTTTCATCCCTTGTGTAACATACTTCAACAGAAGGAGACTGCTCCTCTTGAGGGCTTATATAGAGTTTACCAGAAACTCTGGCAGCAGACAAGCAACAATTCTGGGAATCATCATCAATATACACTGATCTCCCCTTCCCTAAAGAAAAGAACATGATGGTGCTGCCTTGGCTGGAGGCCCAAAAGTAGAAAAGGCAGGGCCAAGACAAGCAAACTTCTATCTCTATAACCTTAGGACCACTTGAGACCATAGGCAGCACCTGACTGAACTCAACATGATGCAGTGCTTGGCACTGGCCTGAGCAATACTCAGGCAGAAGTTAAGACACTGTGTTTGCCCTTGGAAGCCATAATTCATTCCTGAGTTTCCCACTAATGCTTTTTTCGTTCAGCCTATGCAGTGTCAGTTTGCAGAGCTATACAAGCCAATGGAAAGTCGACCCAGGACTACATCCACATAATCTTTTTGTTTTCCCAGTGTAGATCTGCATGTGAACTTTCAGCCCCTGCTGGTTTCAGATACTGTCCAGTGCTTTTAAAAGAAAAGCTCAGTTGCACCCATGCACCTCAATACATTATTGTTAAGAGCAGCTTTCTGTTTCCAAGAGCCTCATAGCAGGCACACACTGCAAACAGAACACTTCACTTCCAAGCCAATATTTATCATTTGCTCCAAGCTGCAACAGAAGCTGAGATGGGGAAAAGAGGTTTCTGGATAGATCATATTGCAGGTTCAAGAGGTGAGTTTTATTCTGGGAGGACAGGTTGTGAAAAAACAGTCTGTGCGCAGTAGGGGTAGATATCAAATTAAATGTTCTTTAAGGAAAAGCAAAAGTGCTAGATGAATTCTTTAGACATATGTTAAATTTATGTACCATTTTTTTTTTCCTGGTAAAAAACGAATAATATTGGAAGAGAAAATGATGGGTTTTTTTCCGTGCTATAATTAAGGGTATGAGATATATGACTTATAACTATGTAGTCTAAGTCCTACGTATGATGTCTGAGCAAAACAGCAAACCTGCACACAATTGAAACTGTGCACTAATAAAATACAGTTAATGCTATCACAACTGCCCTTCTGATATACCACTATTCTTCAAAGCAAAGCCAATTCTGCTTCTGAATTATTTACTTCTCTTTTTCATAATAAAAAATTAGATCTAAAGAAAGAAATTCATCATACCTGAGAACTTATTATGGTACAGGAATTCCATCTGCAGTCTTTGTCCAGCTTTCTTGGCCAATAAGTATGGGGTGCTGTAAACAGGGTCACCAGTGGCACACATAGCATCAGCCCCACTGAAGAGCAACATCAGAGTTTCTAGCACATCTTGCTTGACTACAGCAGCACACAGGGCCTTATCACAGAGAGGGGAAACAGGAAGTCTCTTTAAATTAGAAAGTGACTGGCAACAAATACATGCAACGTAGACGCAAATCCTTTCAACTCTGATATAGCTAGACCATAAACATTGAGAAGTGTCAGAAACCACAAAGTATTGTGGTATTTTAAATCTAGAAAAATTCAGCAACAAAAATATCCCTAATTATCACCCCAAACCCAGCAAAATGTTGCTTTCCCAAACTCCACTTGGGAAGGACAACATGAATAAGTACAATTGGAGGGGAACCTTGCTTTTTATTTACATCAAACTACTGAAGAAAAAGTCTTACTATTTCAGACCCCAGAAGTTCAACAAAAGAGATGAGATTCAATTCTTAAACTCCATTCCTAGGACACATATTGAAATTCCTAGGTAAATTCCTAGAAACCACCATCAGTCAATAATGCAAACTACTCTTTTTATCAAGATGTATTATTAAGATATATCAATATTTAAAAATATTAAGTTTTTTTTTACTCTTTTTATTAAGCTGTATCTTGATACTTGTTCATCTTCCTTGAAATTGAAACATCTCACCACACCCTAAATCATGAGTGTCACCTTTTATTTTTGTATACACAAACATGATAAACTTACTTTTTTATTTCTACAAGACTGGTCAAAAAACCTTAAAACCAAAAATAGCTACACAATTACAGCAACCTCTTCCATTAAAATTTCTATGATTTTATATTTAAGTTATTTAGTCAAAGATAGATTTTTTCTTAAATGATTAAAGCAAAAGTCACTCAAAATCCAAAGATTACTCCTACAAAATTTAGCTGTTTTAATAAACACATAAGCACCCAGGAGGCACAAGATAAGAGAGAAGACAATTCAATAAAAGTTCTAGAATTACTTAGCAATGACTGCCTCGTTACATAATTTCATGTCTCTACAGAGAATTTGGTAACTTTCCCCAGTATTTAAATGATTATTTGACATATATCCTTCCCCACAAAAAACAAACCCCACAATCTCTGTATATCCTTTGAGACAATTTGACTCATGTAATTGAGTGCATTAAATTGCAAAATGCATTAAACCTCTTCTGTATTCATTAACCCTGAAAAATCATCATTCAAACCATCAGATCTTAGAATTCAGTCAAATGGACATCAAACTTTACAGAGACACTAATAATTAAAGTTCTGTTTTACAACATTAAAGAATTTGTTATTTTTGTAAAAGTAGAGAACACACATTTTCAATCATTAATTTCAGCTTTTCCATTTCCAGTATGCTACAAGCTACTATTGTGTAGGAGCTATTTTCACCATTGATAATTAGATGTCAGACAAACATATAGGAAGTAATCTAAAGAAGTGAAGTGGAAATTTGCATCCCTAGACTACAGTTATGTTAAAATAAAGATCCATATTTTTATGGTTAAGGAAAACATAGGAAGAACTACAATAACCTTCTTAAAATAAACTAACAGGAAAAACAAACTAGGTAGTCATGCAATGACTCCTGCAAAGGATCCTAAATAACCCTCATTCAACTGTGTCATAACGTCACTCAGGACAGAACATTTTAACACCAGTTTAACATGATGACCAAATTGCATATAGATACAATACAATCCAAAACACAGTATGGGTTTAACCATGCTATATTACCTTATTCAACTGTTCCTTGGTTTTGTAGTGGAAAGGTGTTTTCCTGAATTTTCCCTCTTTATATTTTTGTGTAATGAATGCTATCCTTTTTTCTGCAGGGTCATCAATATGCAATTCTTCATCTGGAGGAAGATTTCCAGCCCAAAAACTGTTTGCCCTCTTATTTCCAATGATGATAAAGAGCTGAATGAAATACAGGAATAAATCAGCAAAATAGTATGAAGGACATGAAGCTAGTCTCTCAACAGTTTTCAGCTGCTAAAAGTTGAAAAAGAAAGTTATTAAAGAAAAGAAAATTTCCTTCAGGAGTCAGAAGCCTCTCTCAGTCACTGCCTATGGTCATCTACAGATGAATAATAAAACCTGCAGTCATCATTTACCATCAATAGCAGCCAAGCTTTACAAGACTAATCAGTTATAACACTTCATTATATATCAGAAAATATTAGTTAAAGTTCAGAGAAGAGTAGCATATGTTTTAAAGAAAACACTGATGGCTCCAACCCTTTCTATTAGGACCACTTTTAACAACCCAAGAGCCTAAGCTGGTAGTGACAAGTTTCCTCTCTTTTGCCCTTTCTTCATCATGAGAACTCTCCAAAAGCATTTATTTCTTTTTCCCCCAAAATATTAGATACTTGGAGAAATACTAAGTGAAACTGTACATTTTGTTAGCAAAACAAGTTAATATTTGGAATTACAGAGGTACGTGATGAACAGAAACATCAGCTTCATTGTAACAGCACCATATTGTTTAGCAGTTGTATGTTCAGTTTTCTTGTGAGTAAAGCAGTAAATTCCTCCTTTTCATGCAGTAAGTTTCAAGATGGAAAAAAGAGTTAGAATATCACAACATACCTCAATAAGTTCATTGCTCCAAATGCTGGCATCCATTTTTAGACTCCGGACCTTCGAATCTCTTGGTCCTAAAGATCTGTGTTGTCCTGAAAATCCAAGAGCATTACTTAACTAAGGCACTTAAACAGGGTTTCTCTTCTGCTTAGATAACAAAAAAATGTGATGATGCCAGATTTATTCTACTTTATATTTTTACAAAAGTTTGGGGTTGACATTTGACTATTAAATAAAAGCATCAAAAATACTTTTTTTTTTTTTTAAGTAAATTTCAGTTGATAGTAATGAATAAACAAGGTAGACTGTCTCATGTAGACTATTTCTGGGATAGTTTGGTTTGAAAGAAAGCCTAGAATTATAAAATATTTCCTTGAATCTACCGCTTAAGCACATATTTCAATATAAAACATGACAGAACTATATTTTGAGTAGTATCTGAAAGATTTTACTATTGGCAGTAAAATATGTACAGATGAAATAAAATTAATACCCAAAATTTATACACTAAAATTGTTATTCTTTGGCATCTAGCCTTGCAAAATCCATTCCTTTCCCATAAAATGTTAGTGTGTCTCAATTTCCACTAATTGTGAAGGATGATTCACCTGAGAGAACTCAATCACCACAGACACGTCATTTATGCATGGAAGTGATATACAATAAGGATGACCTTGGTATTAAAAAAAAAGTTATGCTCACATTTTGTTTTTCAAACCTTCCACGAGAGTAACACTTAAAAAAAAAAAAACTGCCAATTCAAGAACATACACAGATATGCAAATATGACATTTTGTAGAACCCACATAGCTTGTCATTAATTACTCTACCTGCACACTTCTTACAAATGACAACACAGAGATTGATGGATGCCCAGTCAGGACCGGGAGCTTTACAGTCAGCACAGCTCCTGTTGGACTCATTGAACCAAATCTTCTCAGCTACTTCATAATCAGATAGAGTTTCTGCTATTGATTGCTGAAGTGCTTCAATCCAGTCTTGTTTCTCTTTTTCTGACTCTGCTGTAAAGCTGAAACAATTGACTTTTCTGTGTTATTGATCTTTATTTTAAAGCCCAATTAAACATGGTCTGTAGCCTCCTTATTTATTACATTTACACTTGAAATCACAGTCAAAAATCTTCCTCCACATAGCTATAAATCCTAAGATGGAATATATTATTTTGTATTTTTAAATTCAATGAAACTCCCTCTGTTTTAGTATTGTTTTCAACAAAACCACTACTAGTATAAGGTACGTAGCTTTTGTAACATCATGTAACATCCCTGAGTTAAGAGCTAATTTCAATCCTTTTATGTTACCAATTACCAAACTTAAACACTGAACTTTAACGAAAGCATAGAATGACATAAGGAAACATGGAGAATTAAATGAGAATTAAAAAAACTACTGAAAATTTTAAAAATTACTGAGAATTTAAAAAAATACTTGCTTTTCATTTAAATTTATCTTTTTAAAAATTAAATAGTAAACAAACATCAACATGTCTTAAGAAAAAAAAGAAAGAACTAGCTATCGACCAAGTAGCAACAGATTCAAATTGCTGAACAAGATTATTTTACCTGCTAGTTGACTGAGAGTGAAACTATTTCCTAACATTTACAGTCCCAGGAGAACAAAGAAAGTTCCTCCTTCATTACAACATTTAAGAAACAGTACAACTCTTAACAAAAGGCTTTTATTAGCATGCACTTTCATTTTCTTAAAAATATTACAAGTCTCAGCAATCAGCCAAAGTGAAACTTTCAACTATTTTCAACCAAGGATATCTACAAGGGATAAAACATGAAAGCTTCTTTTCAAATGAAATGCGTAAGACTACATGGATGCAGCATTATTTCACTATTGAAGTTTATTATTCTTTAGAATGAAGTCAATTTCTGAAAGTGGAGGAATTAATTTCTCTTTTTTTTTCCATTTGCCCTTGCACAGAACGAACAAAGAAGACTACGTAAAGGTACGAACCTGTGGGTACAATATGCCTAGTCAGGAGCTAACAGATGAAGCGCTCAACTAAACAAATCAAAGAAAATCCTCCCATTTCTCTAAACATTGCTGAATATCCTTAATAAAAACATTACCTTTTCATCCAAACTAGCTACGGCACTGCAGTATGAAACAAGTATCTCTTTTGTGCTTTAGTTAATTGCATATTTTGTAGAGTAAATATTCAAGTTCTTACCTAAAGCTTTTATAAGGAGTAATTATTTCAAAAGATTGCTTTGCAGCCCGATCCATTTGTTTTACATTTGCCACATTCATAGGGATTAAAGTGATACCAAATCCTGTCTTAAAGTCCTAGGAAAAAGATAATAAAGGTTTAAGTTATCATTCAAGAATAAAACATATAAAGAAAAATTATTTCCTTGTGGTCTGGAAAAAACAAGATCACTAACAGACATCTTTACCACAACATATAAGCTACTTCTAATTAATTAATGGATAAACAAGCCTCCACTAAATTTTGTCCAAACAATAACTTTCCAACTGCTAGAACTGATTGTTGGTAGGAGTAAAAATGTATGCTCGAATTATTAATAAATGAAAGAATGAAAAAAAAAAAGTTTAAGCAATAGATTGCATTAAAATGTGAATGCAAAATTCTGGTAGGATGTAGCTTAAATCATGCTTAAGTGTCTAAATAAACTTTATACATCTAAATCCTTCTCACTGACAGCAGGTTTTCATGCTTTAAAGCTAAGTATTTTAACAAACTAAATGTGTTTAAAATTCCTTCTTAAACCTTTGGTTCTTCAAGCTTCTGATGTAGTACACAGCTAAACATGTCTTTGAAAAAAGGTCCTATACAGCTGATAAAATAGACAAAGGGTTAGTTTTGACTCAATTATAAGAAAGCATTTTTACCTTAAACCAAGCAAAATTATTCAGGTTTTTCCTTGCTGCATGGAAAAATGTACTAAAAATAAAAACTTTTGTACTGACAGAATTGGGAAATAAAATATGAGCTCACACTGAGTTCCTGTGCATGCCTGTCAAAATGTATGGATTTTGGAAAATCAGATGAATACATACATTATTTCTTATCTATTTGGAATACCATCAGCATTTCCTTCTTTAAATTTATTTACATGTTCATCTCAAGGCAGTCACTTCCACAAGTTTAATTTCTGGAAATATTAGCATAGTTCTTGCAAACAGTAAATAAATCTGAAATAAAACCAAGCTGTATCACCCAAGCAAAGAGCCAGATTCAAATATCTTATCATTTACATGTTCACTGTTACCTCTCACATAACAAGTAGTTGGGTACAGACTGATAAAAATAAAAGCATTGAAAAGTAAAAGCTTCAGAGCTGCCTGCCTCTGAAGAAAGGATTGTTTTTCTAGTTAATATATATTTAAACCTGCATCACTGACAAGTTTCTCAAGATTCACATATTTTTGAGGACTAAAGCCTACATGGAGAACATACTTCACAAAACTCTTTTAATTTTATTTCCCTATTTCAGGTATGAGCAACTAAAACTATAGTTTTAGCCAGGATTGCTAAGGCTACATCTGACAAAAGACACATACACGTGTGTGTCTATGCACAAGCAGAAGTATCAATTGTATCACACGAGGCATTGAATTGCATAATGCCCCCAAAAGCATAATAACATCCATTATGAGTTTTTTAGAATGACAAACTTCCTTTTATTCAAATATACTGTGAGATAAGTTAGCTAATGTTTCCTTGCCAGACTTCTTATTAAGAATTTATTTTGGGGTTGTTTTTTTTTTTTTTTTACATGCCATTACCTTTGACAGTAACAGTGGGGAACTAGGTGTGGATTCTGACAGAAACCTTTATAAAAAGTAGTTCTTCAATAACTTATCTATCTTAGCCACTCGTCATATAATTTATTTCAGAAAATAGAAAAAAATAGAAATATTTTTAAATATTTCCCCTTTTCTTCTACCCTCTTATCTTGTAACATAGACATTTTTATTCTCTCTCCTCATCTTCAGCCCCCACTCCATTTGCCTATAAATCAAGGGGGTTCATACTGACACACCTGCCTCAGAAGAGAGCAGAGAGTTCTGTTAAGCCTACACAGTCCCTAATTCACCCTCTATGGGAAAAGAGTGAGCAGAAAAACCTCCTTTTGAGTGTGAACTTGACATCATCCTCTGTAGCAGTGAAGCATTCTTAACTTCACATCACCAGCGAGAAAAAGAGGAGCAAGAAATACTAAAAACGAAGAGACTGAGGACAGAAAAAACCAAAACTTTTATTTCTATAGTGAAATGAAAAAAAAGAAACCTAACCAAAACAACCCAAAACCAACACCTTTGTAGAATTAAATGGTTTATGCTTCTGAGATGTAAATTGGTTGCAAGTTTCATTTGCTGATGCAAGTATTTAATATTATTTAAAATAATTTGCCTTAAGAAATCCTGGTTTTCAAATGAGAGGTAACAAGCCCATCCCTGAACCTGCACAGTACACTCTTTGTTTATTCAATAACAGCCAAAAAACCACCAGAAGCCACGGTTAAAAGGTGTTCAATACACTTCTAGGTCCGGATTAAAGTTAACTGAAGGTAAATGATTAACAAAGATGAGCAAAATAATAACTACCTTATTGAGCCAAATCAAAAGATCCCTGGTAGAGCAGCTTCCCTTTAGGCACTTCCTACTGGTGACGGTCATAAAAATAATGCAAATAAGAAAAGGTACAGGCTCATCTTCTCAAAAAAGCTCCCAGCAATCTAAGCACTTAAAAGTCCCCAAACAAACAATTGCATCAAAGAAAATTATACTTACTAACCACTGGCAGAAATATCCTTAAAGAATTAAAAAGCACAACAACAACATGCTTTGAGGTCTCTGCAGGATCTTACTTCATAAATTTCCCAAATACTGGTTGTAAAAAAAATGAAGTGATTGTGTAGATGTATATTGCCACCTGATAACTAAGAATTTTCAATTTATTGCCTGACTACTGAGAACTTCATTACATAAAAGGAAAGAAACTATAATTAAACTTCATTCACCTAATTATTCCATAATGTTTCTTCTTGAAAATATTTATTCTATATTCCTTTCAGACTCTTTCTTATGCCTTCCAACAGCTGGTTGCACCTCCTTTCCTTGGAGCAAAATGGAGCAAGCTGCATGGAAGCAACCTGCCACATGATGATCACACACAAACATGAACATCTGTGAAAACAGACGCCAAACTTTGTTGTACTACATTCAACAATACAGAACCAAGAAAGCACTCTAGAAACAAAGTGCATTAATTTGAAAGTCTTTATGTGCAGCACCAACCCTCCAAAATTTGCACATGTGCCCACTGTCTGAACAATCCCATTAAAGAAAGAGTAAGTCATTATGCTTTACATTCAGCAAGGGCATGAGAACTTACAATACTGAATTCCAGTGTGAGGAATGTCAGGAACATTAAGAAATTAGAATCTACTTTTCAGAACAGAATATAGTGGCCAATTAAGCAATTTCATTGGTACATTAGAGTGAAGTTATTTCCATAATGGTCCAAACAAACTGCACAACACTTGGCAGAAACCTGGCTTTGTGAGTGACAGGCAGACTAGAATCTAATTTTCAGTGCTCAGAATTATATGCTTTCAGGAGTGCAGTCTTCTTCTCTACTTCAGAAACAGAAGTAGGAATTGGTACAGGGAAGAAAGAAGTGCTCCACTTTGAAAGATGAATTCATTCACTTTGAGTGCACAGAAGGACAATAGGGCCATTATAGAACTATACAAAAAATATCGACAGCAAAAGCAAGCACATCTTTTCAGAATAAGAATTGTCTTGCTTCTACCCACTGAAAGCTCATTGTTTCAGATACACTGAACTGAACTACACTTTCTGACAACAGAAGAAAAGTTTAAGATTCAAAAATGCACAGAGAAAGATGAGAGTTGGGATTTTTTGGGTTTTTTTAAATTTAGATATAGGTATGACTTAAATGTCTCTAGTTATACTATCTTCATGAATTCTAATAAAGATTGAAACAGATCAAAAGTATTCGCTAAACAGCACAATTAACTGAAAGTTAAAAATACGAAGATGAGTACTGGCTTTCTGATTAGCTGTTGTTCCTTCTTGAAGGGTGAATGATTATAATGTGGGAGTGTTGCTGTCATTATCATCCCTGTCTGAAAAAGACTTAACTTATGAAAATCTGTCATCTGTATATAAATAATGAAATTCTTTAATTTCTATTTTTAAACATACCTTTAACATGTATCTATAAAATGCCTCTCAGTGTACAAAACTGCCTTCTTTATTATCTTTTCATAGGCAAAAGCTGCCTTGTGACAGGCTTTATTAACATTTCTTCTATTTTGCATGAAATTCAAGGAGATTCAAAATTCAGTCTCATACCCTAACATACTGCCACTGTTTTACAGAGACAGAAATAAACACCAAAGCTAAGGAACACTGAAGTATATATGTATAAAATCATGCAACTATATCTGAACAAGTGAAATTTTCAGAGCTGCTGGACACCTAACTTTCGGTATGTTGTCTTAAAAAGCCAGACTTGGGCACCTTTCTGCATGCAAATCATAAATAAATTTGTAATCATCAGAGGCTGAACCTTGTGACTCTCAGTGAACACACTTTCTGCAGAAAATGGCACTTGTGAAAAAGCTCTTCTCCTACCCGGAGAGTATACTGGAATTAATTTTTCTTTCTATTTTTTCCTTTCCACTTGGTTTCATTCCAGTAACACTAGGGCTGGCATTCTTACTGGTTTAATCAAATCAAAATTCATCTGAAAACAGAAGTTCTAGAGATGCTGCTTGCGTTCCCCAACATTTACCGTTTCAGCAGTTATTATCATATCTGTGCATGCACTGTCTTTCATGGATCTAACATTAGGTCCTCAATGTATGAAGTTGATTAAAAAAAAAAAAACCTTTGCATCAAGAAAACATCTCAGAGAAATTAAACCAAAAAAATGCAGCCACAATTATAACTTCACCCATACTCCTCACATAAAAAGTTAAGTAACTTAAAATATTGAAATAAAATAAATACTGAAAATAAAAGGTTAACTAACTACTACTTTCATATTAGAAATATCAATCCATATTTTTATCTCTTTCTTTTTTGGTAGAGGACTAACTGGATAACAGCAACAGCAGAGAAAAAGGAAAATTGATGACAGTAGTTCAAGAGACCATGTTTCTACATACTCACACATGCTTATACATAGTTAAGTATGTACCTTAATATATAAATACTTGTAGCTTATTTTGAAGTAAAAAGAATACAGAAGTACAAAACTCTGAAGTACAGAAATAGCACTGATATAT